CTGTTCCTTTGTACAATTGTCCCAGAGATGACAGCAATAGTCAAACAGAGGTAAGATAAAGGATTTATACATTGTTTCGAGAGTTTTGCGTGATAGTCTATATTTAAAACTACGAAGGCAGTTAATCATAGGGCTAATTTTCCTTATCATTTCATTAATGTGGGAATGCCAGAGGAGGTTTTCCTGAAAAATAATGCCTAGGTGTTTATGAGTCTGCACTTCATTTATAGGTGTACCATTCATCGAGAGGAGGTTTCGTAGAAGGTTTCGTTTTGTGTGAAAACTGGATAGTTTCAGTTTTGTTTGGATTAAATTTTACTTGCCAGGTTTCCGCCCATTTAGATATTCTGTCTAAATCTGAGTTAAGAATAAATGCACTCGTATGGGGATCGTCGATTATTACATAGAGTGATGTGTCGTCTGCGAAAAGGCGTATATTACTTTCGATTCCATCAACTATGTCGTTTATGTATATTAAGAATAAAAAGAGGTCCAAGGACTGATCCTTGAGGCACCCGGCTATTATCGGTTTTAATTCTGATTTGTAACCTTGGATAACTACTCTTTGCATTCTATTTTGCAAATAACTTCCAAACCATTTCAGTAACTTCCCATCTATCCCACATGATTTTAGTTTATGGATAATCCCTTTGTGCCAAACTTTATCAAATGCCTTGCTTATTTCGCAGAATACAGCTCTTACTTCTTTTCCGTTGTCTATAGCTTTAGCAATAAAGTTATACAAATGCGTGAGTTGGTAAGCTGTTGAATCTCCTGGCATGAATCCAGATTGTAAATTTGAAAGGCAATTGTTATCTCATGAAGTTAAAGACATATTTAAATATACATTTTTCAAAGACCTTGGATAAACAAGATGTTAAGGCAACGGGTCTATAGTTCGAACAATCGTTAATATTACCTTTCTTGTGGATTGGTATTACTGATGATTCTTTCCATATGTCTGGGAAAACTGATGTTTGTAGTGACTTGTTAAAGAGTTTAGTTAATGCTAGTGACAAGGAGGGGGATACCAAACGTAGGAAGCGGTTTCCTATACCATCTGGTCCACTCGCTTTGGTAATGTTTAACGATGATAGAACATCTTCAACATCCTGCTTTGTAAGATATAAATTCCTCATATATTTACTATTATTGTTTAAGGTCATATTTGGAAGATCCTTATTTGGGTCAGCGATTGTTGCCTGGTCAATAAAGTAATTATTTAAAACGTTTGCTATTGATTCTGGTTCTTGATAGACTTCGTTATTGTGGGTAATAGGAGGAAAGGAGATACTTTCAGATTTTCTGTTCATATAGTTTTTAACTAAACGCCACCATAGTTTAGTGCTATGATTATTGTTTATTTGAGTGTCTAATTTTGTTGCATAATCTTTCTTGGCTTTTCTAACTGCAGAAGTCACTTGATTTCTTAATGATCTAAAAGTAGCCCAGTCATTTTCACCATTTTTGTTTCGCTATTTTATGTTGTCGATTTCTGTTTACGCATGAGTTTGCGAATGTTATTATTCATCCAGGGAGTATCTTTACATCTTATTCTAACAATTTTGTTTGGTATATTGGAATCGCAGATATGAGATAAGGTTTTCACAAATGCACCTGTGCTCACATTTATGTCAAGTGATGACAGTACGTTTTCCCAATCAGTATTGTCAACGTGGAAGCAGATATCGTCTTTGTTTACCAATGTGTAATCGTAAACTTTTCTCAGATATATTTTTGTTGACTTCATACATTCTTTTAATGTTACGGATACTGGACAATGATCGCTACAAAAGGTTCTAAAACATTTGACTCTTTTACCATATCGAGACGAGAAACAAATATCAAATCAATAAGGGTTCTACTGTTTTTGGGTGACTCTGGTTGGTGAGTTTATAAGTTGGTGCAAACCGTAAGCCACCATAAGATTGTTTATTTTAGCGTCTAATTTGTTGTAAATATCAATGTTAAAATCTCCAACAATGATTGTATCTAAATCCAAATCCATTGCATCTCCAATCGATTGATTTAACAGGTTCCAATACTGTTCACTTTTGTCTGCTCTGTAGAATACACCTACCAGATACTTTCTGCTTTTGTAGCGGAGCTCTATCCATAATGCTTCCAGACCAATCTTATCTAAGGTTTCTACTCGTTTGGCGATGAATGTGTTCTTAACGTAGACAGCGACCCCACCACCCCGTGTAAGTCTATCTTTTCTAAAGGGACACTGAAAGCCTGGAATAGAAATATTATTATCTAATATACCTTTATGGAGCCAGGTTTCTGTCAAACAGATAACGTCATATTCGTTCAGTTCTAGACCTATGAGTTCAATTTTATCTTTAACACTACAGGCATTTAAATGGATAATTTTTAGATCAGTATAACACGTTGGTCCTGGGTTGGGGTGGATATCACCACAAAGTAATAGCAATAAGGTTAGGAACAGAGATATTCTAGCATCGTAAAGGCACGTCATCATTACTACAAACTTTCGAAGGTTTAATAGATGTGTTTTTTCAGATGAGATTTTTAGAGAGAACAAACCCACCGATTGCCTGTATTGAGAAATGTTAACTGGCATTATCGGTCGTTATGAGATCAAATGAATGGCGACAATGGTGGGGATACAAACTAAAACTGGTATAAACTGACCACGAAACATGAATTAAGTCACGTCTGCTAAAATGGTAACAATCAATTACATTCTGAATGCAAAATATAACATTTAGAAACATACATGCACTATGTGAACTCAGATCATTTGTCATGAAGGGGAAAGTCACGAACAGTAATTGTTGTAAAGAACAGTAAAAAGTAAGAAGGTAGATTATAACCATGATCTGCCGGTTAGAAAGGGGTAAAAAGGACATTCATGGAGTTATTATATATCACCAACAGCATGTCAACAGTCGTGTATATATCACCAACATCATGTCGACAGTTGTGTATATCTTATCAACATCATGTCAACAGTCGTTTATATTTCACTATCGCCATGGCAACCATTGTTTACATATTACCGTCAGTATTTCGTGTTTTCACGGACAATATGGTAAAATCACGTCGATTCAGTTCTACTGTTACATTTTGCTACATACGGTAAACATATGCATGTATTTGATAACGTTTCTGCTTTGAAAATCCAAACAAATCATCCGCCATTTTGTCCACTCAATCCACAAAACTCGAGTGATCCTGCTGTAGAAGATGTATGTTGTCACTAGCTAATTGGTGAGGTATGCTTTCATCAGTTGATTTACTACCCACACGGAAACAACAAGTCGACCTGCCAAGGTCCCCCGTAATTCTGACGTCCAAGGTGTGCCATTGTTTCAGACTACTTGGCTGAAGCTTGAAAAGACAATGGCATGCCTATGTGATAAATTGATCGCTTAATCTGACACATTGACACGTGAGTGACGCACATCTGACCTGGATTAAGAGATTACCGTTAATTCGGACCTCAGGACCGGAGGCTAGAGTCCCAGAACAACAATGATACATTTCTCAGTCGATATTGCTATATCCATATGTTTAAGTGTTTCGATGCAACACATTTAAAAATTCATGCTGACCTCTGTTTCCGAACAATATCTAAGTATCGCTAAATCGTATGAAACTTTCACACTTCCAAAACAGAATCATATATATCAACCTTCCTGAAACCTTCGTTTAGGTGACAAATCCCTTCTCCTTTCTGTAACTCCTGACAAGTTGAAGAAATTTGGTGCCAGATCCTTCAAACACTCTGGCTCTGTGATATGGAACTCTCTTCATAGCACCTCAGACGCGGTCCTTCCTTGACTGGCTTTAAAACTGGTGTAAAGACTCATCTGTTTTTACCTAGAGACAATTGTTAAGTCCATAGTGCTGTGCGTGCGGTACAGTCTCATGTTTAGCGGGCTTGTTATCATTAAGTGAACGTTGAGGGTCATTAACCCCGTCCGTATCAACTAAGGAAACACGCCATTTGCCTTAATGTATGCATTTGAATGGACTTAACTATTGCATATAAAACAAAAAATATATTATATTTAATATAAACTGCTGACGTAAGGTTCTACATGTTTAGACGCCAAATGAGATCCGAATAGTAATTTATTACTAGTTACAACTACCGTGCTTTCCTCAAACATAGACATACTTTTAACCCTGACGTGTCACGAGTATGCATGGACATATTGGATATAAAACAAAAATTATTATATTTAATATAAAGTGCTGACGTGTTCACATGTTTAGACGCCAAGATCAATTCCAATGCTTTATTTCAACAAACTACCAATGTGCTTTCCTCAAACTGGACCCTGCGTAAATGTTTTTATTAGATAAATAATTGACAAGCCTTTGCATGTGTTTATGACAGGCGCCATCGGTGGGGCAGGAAACGCTTGGTATAAAATCATTATACTAAGTCATAAATACATGCTCATGATATAGTCGCACTTGTACAAACGAGATTTCTGTGGATGTGGACAGGGTCTTGTCGCTTCCATTTATGAACACGTTCCCATAATTCTACTAATGCTTTATGTTGGGAAGATGTATCGCAGGGGCTCAGCCTACTCCAGACATGTGTTTGTTTCAGCTACCGTGGAGGTATACTTCTTATTGCCTTACACTGTATGCTTCTATGATTCTCGATCTTGTCCTTGTTTTGTTAAACATTATTATTATTGTGTTTTTCTCGGTGGGGACGGTGGGTAGTGGTATAGCGTTCTCTCGTCATCCGGCATCACCCGGGTTCGATTCCACAGGAGTACAATATGTGAAGCCCATTTCTGGTGTCCCCCCGCCGTGATATTGCTGGAATGTTGCGAAAAGCGGCGTAAAACTAAACCCATTCATCTAAACATAAAAAGCAGGTTGATAAAATAATATAAGCTTATGCTTGTTTACCAATCCGGTTCCTTTCTTTGGAAATAAATATGTTTAAATCATAAAATGATACATGGGACAAGGCCCTCCTGAGTAAAGATGTAACAAGTTGGTACAATGCATAGGCGGATCCAGTGTGTGTGTGTGTGTGTGTGTGTGTGTGTGTGTGTGCGTGTGTGTGTGTGCACGCGTGTGTGTAGGAGTGGGCATCCGCATCCCCCCTCTTGTCCTGACAGTTTAGTAAATGACTATTGAAACTCTCGTGAAATCGGGTGAAAATGAACTGTGCACCCCCTTTCTCAAAAAGCTGTATCTATCTCGGGAGTACCAAATAACACTATGTCGAAGTCATCAATACTCAGAGTATAAAGTAATGCAAGATCATTGTGCACAAGCACATATAATTTTTCTTCAGATTAAACACGAAACATTTTGTATAATAGTGAATCTGCTCAGTCGTCTTATATTATGCTCTTTACGATTACTGACAAGGTTGATAGATGTCATCGTGTCCCAATTGCCTTGATCAATGCTCATGTTGTTGATCAAGGGATTGTCTGGTCCAGACTCGATTACTTACAGACCGCCGCCATATAACTGTAATATTGCAGAGTGTGGCTAAACTCACTTTCTAACTTTTCGATTACGGAGGGTAATCGCAGACATGTTATTTTATGAAATATGAACTTTACAAATTTCGAGAATCAGTTTTTTGTGATGGACATTGAATTATGTCCCTAACAAACATCGACTAGTATACATACGTAATATGCCTTGAAGTATGGCCTTTGTTTATTTGTATTAGCAAATATGATATAAGTTCCTCTGGTGACATTTAAGCCACTGACATGAACGGTTCCATCAATGCCATTGCATAATGACAACAATCGACAATCAAAATTCGTTCGTCAGTGGAACATAGACGTTCATAGTCAAGCGTTGTACTGCAAGCCCGTTACGTAACACCCTTCAGCAGGTAACACAGGCTGTGGGCTGTTTCTGTACACCGCGGACAGCGACATCTAGAGGATGGATGGGGAGTCAGCACGTATTTACTTCACCGGACCCATAAATTGTCCCGTTTGATAGAACGACAGGGACTGAAACGACGCCTCGGGCTACTTCCAGCTTCTAACAAAGTCCCCTCCAGACGCTGAGACGGTCATTGGGAATCAGCATCGGACAGAGGACAACACGGTCACCATGTCTCGGCTTACGTACAGTCTCACCCTTCTCGGTAAGTACAGCAGTGTGTACACACACTGGACTTCAGTAACTTCCATATCTCTGTTGAAAATGGGAATCTGTCTTGCTAAGTAAAACAGTGTACGCAAAGACTGGACTTGAATAGCTTCCATATCTCTGTTTAATATGGAATCAGTCTTGTTAAGTACAACAGTGTGCATACAAACAGTGGACTTGACTAGCTTCCATATCTTTGTTGTTAAATGCAATCCGCCTGTTTGTAATACGTCGTACAACTGGGTACTCTAAACTACGGTTACAACGAACTCATAGCTAATTTTTGTTCGTCACAGCCAAAGTCCTTTCAGGCATTTCGACTATAATATACAAGAGACAGAAAGAAGTCAAAACCCAGATTGTAGCACATTGTTAATGTTCTCCAAGGAAGTAGATTACGTTAGAATAGCTTTACGTCGAGATCTGCTTTTCTGCCTGGAATGGCAGCAGCGCCATGTTGTTTCGACCACCGTAACTAGTATGGTCATGTTAAACCCTTGTTCCACCGTGAGCTATGATATTATAAACTCTGCATTAAATGTCAGCAGTAATAATATTAGTGTGTAACATACCTACACAGTTCTAACGACCATTCTGCAGATTTCTTACGATCTCCATGTCACTTACGATCTCCATGTCACTTACGATCTCCATGTCACTTACTTACGATCTCCATGTCACTTACGCATAAGAACGACAACTCGGATTACAGCCCACTAGGCACACCCTTGAAGAATGTGGATACATATTATGCGGAATATTTAAGACGTAAAAAGAGCTCGTATATATACATGAGATTCAACGTTTCCGCTTCCACGCTATTTATAAGCAGAACCTTTCACGTATTTTATCTGGTTGGCTTATGACCCACATGTGCAGGAGAAATATGCTACCACTCTGCAAAAAGCCGACACGTCCTATCATTCTGTGTAGATGGTCCCTAAAGTTGTCAAGATGTCTCAAATCTGTCTGGAAGTCTGACGTTTCCGGACGCCCGTATGTCGGGCATGTAGTGAGACATATGTGCCCGGATGCAGCCATGAAATCTTATTTATTTTTGTCTGCTTAGAGCAGCGGGATTACTGACAGAAAGTTATTTTTAAGGAATTGCAATGTAGGTTCGCATAGATTGAATTTTATGTATCAAGGCAGTTTTAAACTTGTATGTGTCCATCAACAAAATATATTGGAGACATGGCCGGTGGGGTAGCCTGGTGGTTAAGCGTTCGCCCTTCACGCAGAAGACGGGGTTCGATTCTCAACATTTGCACTATTGTGAAGCCCCGTTCTAGTGTCCCCAGCCGTGCTGGAATATTGCTAAAACACACACTGGCTCACTCACGTTTGGAGACAGAAAATTCGTCAGACACCTATTCGACTTATCGTTGGTCAAATAATGATAAACATAGCAGACACTAGTAGGATCTGTCGATCAGTTCGACACATCAGAATTCGATACTCCTTGTCCAGATGTAGAAAGCTGTAAGTTGAATTCATGTGAAACGATCTCCCGCTTTAAACAGAGTTAACATAGAGGCACACACACACACACACACAAACACACACACACACACACACACACACCAGTCTTAGCTTAGAGAGTATACAATTAAACGTAATTGACTCTTCGCGTAAAGGTTTGTTAAAATGCCTCGAATAAAGCCAGTTTATGTGACCTTTCACAACATGTGAACATTGACAGCTACATTTTGAAAATTAATAGATGTATTTCATCAAAAGCAGTGTGATTGAACGAATGCTAGGACACGATAATATCAAGCGAAAAAAGCAGTTTCACATATCTAAGTTGGAGAGTGAGTGAGTGAGTAAGTGAGTATAGTCATATACCGCGTTTAGCAACAATCCAGCAATATCGCACCAGAAATGGGCTTCACACATCGTACCCATGTGAGGAATCGAACCCAGGTCTTCGGCGTGACGCTTTAGCCACTAGACTACCCTACCTCCCTTACGCTAGGAGCACGTGGAACACACTTCAGCGAGGCTATGACATGATTCTGTTCAGGACAATGAGCCTCTAGAAGCAAGCACATGCACTAGGGTCCCTGACAAGACTTGTATATTTGAGTATCCATGGAAACATTGACCGGCAACGAAACTTTGAGTCTCAAGATATATAAGCTTCTTGTCTTGTCTAAATGAGTAAGCTATCCCCAAGTCATAACTGATAGCCAATTGTGCTTTGTGTGCATGTATATATTGAAACTAAATGGTTGACATATCGACACTTCTACAAACATACGTATGTACAGTTTATTATTTCTCTGTACAACGATTTATATTATTGTTTCTTGTTGTTTCAGCTGGACTTTTCTGTCATGTCTTATCACAAGGTACGTCGTTTTTGTGATTTCTGTTTATACTAACTGAATGTATTGAACCTTAAAGTCCATGCTCGACATTTAGCTTCGTCAATTTTCTTTGAAATTCTATGTCCCTTGAGTTGATTTGACTTTGGTAGGCCGAGACACAATGTGAAATAACTGTCCTAGCTGGCACTGAAAGCCAAGGTTACACCTTTACGGACTCATTGCGTATTTGCCCCCAAGTTAAGATAACAAATACTAAAACCGCGATTTGAAATTGGAACTGATACAGGTCCATTGAAGTTAAGTCTTTGTTTGTCGGAAAATGGGTGATATATGTGGATTATGTCTTACTGGGACGTAGAAAAACTTTTATTCACTTACCTGTCGTCTTAACAAAGTTATACACGTGACAGAGAGAATATAATTTATGAAATCACAGAGTAAAATACAACCACTCCATGTACTTCTTCAGCTGTATCACAGACATTGATCAATGACAGCACGAGATGCCCTTCTTGTGTCGTGAGACAAAAGGACAATTAAAGGTTATGTACGTAAAACACATCAATCATGCGCTACCAAGATGGTGAGTGAGTGCCTTTGTAAGACAGATCTCTGTAACGACACTTACAGCACCATCTCGGCTTACCACGACGGCAGTTTAGCAGTTAAGACAACTCAACCGGCCACATCACGTGATCACTGGTCTGGCCAAATTTTATCACATAAACCATGTATGATATCTCATGTGTCATATGAATATAAGTTGCATCTAAATTTATGTATTGTTTGACATATGTGTTCTCGAGACAAGATAGTATTCCAATTTGTCATCACTTTTGTACTTCACGCTCAGGGTACTAATTATTCTAAAGAAACATTATGTGACAGTCAAACTGGGGGCATTAATTGGTATTTAACAACTTCACTCAAATCTCTGTGTAATATAAGGATGTGCTGTACTTAACCAAGAGTACGTCAACACTTTTGTACTTCACGCTCGGGGTACTTATTATTCTAAAGAAACATTATGTGAATGTCAAACTGGGGGCATTAATTGGTATTTAACAACTTCACTCAAATCTCTGTGTAATATAAGGCTGTGCTGTACTTAACCAAGAGTACGTCAACACTTTTGTACTTCACGCTCGGGTTACTAATTATTCTAAAGAAACATTATGTGACAGTCAAACTGGGGGCATTAATTGGTATTTAACAACTTCACTCAAATCTCTGTGTAATATAAGGATGTGCTGTAACTTTAACCAAGAGTACGTCAACACTTTTGTACTTCACGCTCGGGTTACTAATTATTCTAAAGAAACATTATGTGACAGTCAAACTGGGGGCATTAATTGGTATTTAACAACTTCACTCAAATCTCTGTGTAATATAAGGCTGTGCTGTACTTAACCAAGAGTACGTCAACACTTTTGTACTTCACGCTCGGGTTACTAATTATTCTAAAGAAACATTATGTGACAGTCAAACTGGGGGCATTAATTGGTATTTAACAACTTCACTCAAATCTCTGTGTAATATAAGGCTGTGCTGTACTTAACCAAGAGTACGTCAACACTTTTGTACTTCACGCTCGGGGTACTAATTATTCTAAAGAAACATTATGTGACAGTCAAACTGGGGGCATTAATTGGTATTTAACAACTTCACTCAAATCTCTGTGTAATATAAGGCTGTGCTGTACTTAACCAAGAGTACGTCAACACTTTTGTACTTCACGCTCGGGTTACTAATTATTCTAAGGAAACACTATGTGAATGTCAAACTGGGGGCATTAATTGGTATTTAACAACTTCACTCAAATCTCTGTGTAATATAAGGCTGTGCTGTACTTAACCAAGAGTACGTCAACACTTTTGTACTTCACGCTCGGGTTACTAATTATTCTAAAGGAAACACTATGTGAATGTCAAACTGGGGCATTAATTGGTATTTAACAACTTCACTCAAATCTCTGTGTAATATAAGGCTGTGCTGTACTTAACCAAGAGTACGTCAACACTTTTGTACTTCACGCTCAGGGTTACTAATTATTCTAAGGAAACACTATGTGAATGTCAAACTGGGGGGCATTAATTGGTATTTAACAACTTCACTCAAATCTCTGTGTAATATAAGGCTGTGCTGTACTTAACCAAGAGTACGTCAACACTTTTGTACTTCACGCTCGGGTTACTAATTATTCTAAGGAAACACTATGTGAATGTCAAACTGGGGGCATTAATTGGTATTTAACAACTTCACTCAAATCTCTGTGTAATATAAGGCTGTGCTGTACTTAACCAAGAGTACGTCAACACTTTTGTACTTCACGCGCTCGGGTTACTAATTATTCTAAGGAAACACTATGTGAATGTCAAACTGGGGGCATTAATTGGTATTTAACAACTTCACTCAAATCTCTGTGTAATATAAGGCTGTGCTGTACTTAACCAAGAGTATGTCAACACTTTTGTACTTCACGCTCGGGTTACTAATTATTCTAAGGAAACACTATGTGAATGTCAAACTGGGGCATTAATTGGTATTTAACAACTTCACTCAAATCTCTGTGTAATATAAGGCTGTGCTGTACTTAACCAAGAGTACGTCAACACTTTTGTACTTCACGCTCGGGTTACTAATTATTCTAAGGAAACACTATGTGAATGTCAAACTGGGGCATTAATTGGTATTTAACAACTTCACTCAAATCTCTGTGTAATATAAGGCTGTGCTGTACTTAACCAAGAGAGTACGTCAACACTTTTGTACTTCACGCTCGGGTTACTATATATTCTAAGGAAACACTATGTGAATGTCAAACTGGGGGCATTAATTGGTATTTAACAACTTCACTCAAATCTCTGTGTAATATAAGGCTGTGCTGTACTTTAACCAAGAGTACGTCAACACTTTTGTACTTCACGCTCGGGTTACTAATTATTCTAAAGGAAACACTATGAGAATGTCAAACTGGGGGCATTAATTGGTATTTAACAACTTCACTCAAATCTCTGTGTAATATAAGGCTGTGCTGTACTTAACCAAGAGTACGTCAACACTTTTGTACTTCACGCTCGGGTTACTAATTATTCTAAGGAAACACTATGTGAATGTCAAACTGGGGCATTAATTGGTATTTAACAACTTCACTCAAATCTCTGTGTAATATAAGGCTGTGCTGTACTTAACCAAGAGTACGTCAACACTTTTGTACTTCACGCTCGGGTTACTAATTATTCTAAGGAAACACTATGTGAATGTCAAACTGGGGGCATTAATTGGTATTTAACAACTTCACTCAAATCTCTGTGTAATATAAGGCTGTGCTGTACTTAACCAAGAGTATGTCAACACTTTTGTACTTCACGCTCAGGTTACTAATTATTCTAAGGAAACACTATGTGAATGTCAAACTGGGGCATTAATTGGTATTTAACAACTTCACTCAAATCTCTGTGTAATATAAGGCTGTGCTGTACTTAACCAAGAGTACGTCAACACTTTTGTACTTCACGCTCGGGTTACTAATTATTCTAAGGAAACACTATGTGAATGTCAAACTGGGGGCATTAATTGGTATTTAACAACTTCACTCAAATCTCTGTGTAATATAAGGCTGTGCTGTACTTAACCAAGAGTACGTCAACACTTTTGTACTTCACGCTCGGGTTACTAATTATTCTAAGGAAACACTATGTGAATGTCAAACTGGGGGCATTAATTGGTATTTAACAACTTCACTCAAATCTCTGTGTAATATAAGGCTGTGCTGTACTTAACCAAGAGTACGTCAACACTTTTGTACTTCACGCTCGGGTTACTAATTATTCTAAGGAAACACTATGTGAATGTCAAACTGGGGGCATAAATTCTTATTTTCTTATTTAACAACTTCACACAAATCTCTGTGTAATAAAAGTAATGTTGTAAGCCGTAACAAGAAAACGTCAACACTTTTGTATTTCACTATCAAAGTACTTATTATTCTGAAGCAACATCTGACGACTATTGGGCAAAATTTCCTCGTGTCCTACATTATGTTAATGACGAGTGACTTCCGTCAGTGTGACAATTAACATACATAGAGCGTGACACCTACCTAGAGTGTGACACACGGACCTACTGAAGTCAGGAGGTACGTCTCAGTTATCATATATATCATCATCTGAACGTCATCACGATCACGCTGACTACAAACTACAGCATCCATATGCAGAACAATTAAACAGAGAGGGTGTCACTCACATGTCTGGAAGTCCTCACAGTAAGGCCTGACAACCTACCTGGATACCTGACGTAAACCATGGCTCTCCTCACCTGTATGAATGATAACATCAGAGACACAAGTTATTACTCTTCTTAATGTCTCGTGTGAATGTGGTTGAATTAAACCTTCTTCTTTGAGTGGCATTTTAGAAGTTCGGAAGTACAATAAAGATTAACTTTATGGAAAACAAGCAGAATGCTTATCCATAAAGTTTGTCTATATTGTAAATTAAACCAGTTCGAAAAGGTAAACAGATTTTAATATATGTTTAAAATGTAAAGTTTTGAAATCCCATCCTCATTTAGGTCAAACCTGCGTATTTGTTATTCAACATCTGACATCTTTATATACTAGCATGGCAAATGAAATCGTTATCTACATTTGTACGTAAAAACCTTATGAAGCTGCACAACGATAATATACTGTCAGTACCCGGAACCCCTATTAATAGCGTTGTCAGTTTCTTGGCATCCTACTTAATGACCTAGTACCTCTATCTGTATGAGGGAACAGGTATCATGGCAGATGGGGGTAAACAAAGTACGAGCAACTTCATATTTGAATACAGTTCGTGAACTACATAAACTAGGGTTTGGTATGTATACATGTGTATTAGTAGTGCAATAAGAACAACAACAGTAAATATATGACGTTGTTTGATTGGCTAGTCAAGCAATGTTGTATAAGCTTTTTGACATTAAAATAGGCCACTGTTCTTAATGAATATTGTTTTCTGATTGACTGACAATTCAGTGGGCGGGGCTTGTCTGTCAGTATTGGCTCCAACTCTGTCAGGTGTTGCTATTTGTTTTCTGTTGTCTTATGAAGTCGTAATGTTTACCTAGCTGCCTGTGAAGTTATTATTGACTTGTTTTTAATATCAACTGATTCAAATATGTTTTTACATTTATGGAGGAAGGGATTTAGACAATGCATCAGTTGTTACTTTGACACCTCCATTGGTGCAATGATGACACCTCCATTGGTGCAATGATGACACCTCCATTGGTGCAATGATGACACCTCCATTGGTGCAATGATGACACCTCCATTGGTGCAATGATGACACCTCCATTGGTGCAATGATGACACCTCCATTGGTGCAATGATGACACCCCCATTGGTGCAATGATGACACCTCCATTGGTGCAATGATGACACCTCCATTGGTGCAATGATGACACCCCATTGGTGCAAGACGAGTGTAAATCAACAAAGCTATTTCCATTACCACAATGCATCTCTGTTAAAGGCACAGACCTCTGTGCTAGCATGTATTAACAATTTGATATAGAAATGTTCGCCATTTATCACATGAGTATAGCTTTTGTTGTGTTTTCCATAGGACCTAACAACTTCCGCATTCTTGCCCCTGGTAAGTATATACGTCATTATACCCCGTAACACATGCTAAATTTGGGATTACACTGTAACACATGCTAAATTTGGGATTACACTGTAACACATGCTATATTTGGGATTACACTTTCTAAGTAAAGTACAGATTCTAGTACTTTTTGCTATGTTCAATCCCATGGTCACGTGTCCTAAGTAACGTGATCAAAACAAAATGTCGGCTGTCATTGCACAAGTTGAATTCTTAGGAAACAGGTTTCAACTGAAATTTGCTCGGTTGCGTGTAATAGCGTTTATATAAAGAAAATACTTTGTTGGTTGAAATCATTTGGTCCCTTTCACACACCCTTGTATATTAAAAACCCCATAGACTAATGTTGACAGTCATAAATGAAATGTATTCATACGCATGACCCCTGTTTTGACGGCGTAATGCGCTCGTTCTGTAAGTTGAATTCTGAGATATTGTTTTGCTAATGTTGGATGAATAATAAATAAAATACTAAATTATGTCCCGTGTAATACCATATTTATGAAACACGTGAATGGTATTGATATCTATCTTGCTTTCGCTTGTTAGATACCAAACAATTCACTCGTTTCCTAAATGTGGTATTACACGGGACATGTTTAATATTCTCTAGGTCTCACCTCGTAGAACAAACCGTCAAGTCAAATCGTTGGCACTACGGAGACGTTGTAAGAATGGTACATACTCTGCCTCAGCAACGTCGTTGCTTATCATATATCAATATAACTAATTATAAATTCATAGCAAAAGACACAATCTTCACTTTGTGGATGTCACTCATCACCATGGTTACACCAGACATCACAGTCACGTGTTATAATCTGTTTCTTCAGGAAATCCAATGGCAGACGCTTTTAAACCGAATCAAGGTTGGTGACGTTTAAATATATAGATCTGCTTCGACTTTCGTGTTTTGGGCTAATTATGTCAGTGCTGTCTTGTGTGTTTAGTGAGTTAGTTTAATTTTACGCCGCACTTAGCAGTATCCCAGCCATATGGCGGCGGTCTGTAAATAATCGAGTTAGGACCAGACAATCCAGTGATCAACAGCATGAACATCAATCTTCGCAATCGGGATACATGTATCAACCAAGTCAGCGAGCCTGACGACCCGATCCTGTTAGTCGCCTCTTACGACAAGCATGGGTTACAGAAGACATGTGGGCTTAGTGAAGGGCTCGATTAGTTCATCAGAAAGAATGGATACCGACTTGTTAGGTAAACTGGCGTGGAACAGCTGATAGCGTGTCAACACGTCATGTTTTATGTTCACAAAAAAAATAGAATTATTGTTGTATTATTTGTATGTTCATGCTGGAATATTCGGTATTATACAATTGTATTAATCTGTGTCATGGCGATGTAATGCTGGGTGTGGTAGCCGGCATGGTAAGATATGTAGTATTGGCGTTATAGCATCGTACAGAGAGGAACAAGGACTATATTGTCCGTATAGTGATGTAAACATTGCTCCTCTATCTGAATCTAAGACAAGGAACACCGTCGTAGTTTCAGGAATGTTCATCTGATGCGTTAATGGTTAAAGGATTTGGCTGTCAAAGTATTGTATGTAAACAGTGCTACACACCCGCACAGCGCCGTCATCGGCTGATGTGTCTGTCGTAAGGTTTGGATAGAGCAGGTTTTGCTACAGGAATTGTACATTTTCATTGTACAATTGTACAGTATTTCAGGAACCCTCACCGTGGAATATGCATCGTAAGTTAAACACGCCTATAGCCAGTAAGCTTGAGCAACGAGACATAGCGTCATACTCCCGTGTATATAGGTGTAGTACTGCTTTGAACACAATATCATGATATATCTGCTTGGTTGCTTGGTGTTGGAGTGAGTGAGTGAGTACTTTTACGCCGCTTTTAGCAATATTCCAACAATATCACGGCGGGGGGTACTAGAAATGGGCTTCACAGTTGTACTCATGTGGGGATTCGAACCCGGGTCTTCAGTGTGACGAGCTACTCCATCGTCCCTTGTGGCGTTGGTGAAATATATGGACGTCAACGCCGGAGAGTAGCCAGAATCGATTATCCAGCGAAACAGCTTCATTTGGGTCTCAAAGGCAATAGAGCAGTGAAAATAATGAATGTGTGACTGAACATATAAGATGACGCATGGTGTGGTATAAACAGAAATCAACATGGAAAGACCGCCTTAAACTAGGGGCCATATTCGAGTCAGCGATGCAAATCCTTTTGGCACATCCTCACAGAACTAAGGGAAGTAACTCAGCTGACAGAAATTTGTCAAAAGTGACCAAGGATTAAATTTGCAGCCACAGAATAATAAGGGCATATGTGTTTTTGTGACTCATAAAATAAATTTATTCACATTGACCATATATTTTAGATTAGTATTAATATTGGTCATGTATAGTATCATCATTTATATTGTAGCATATACTAGATATTTAGATTATCATTGATATAGTATCATATTTTGTTATCTATTATCTATATTATACCATAGATTATTAGAATATTATTCACTGACTAGCTTAGAACACATATGTCCAGTGCACCCAGGGTTGTGGTTCAGTATTAAACAGTAATTAGCCCATAGTTCCTCTCCCCTGATGGCCTACCCCAATATACCTGCTTAGATATTATGCTTCAGTTAGCCATACACTTTGTCTGATCCCACCAATAGAAGACGTCGAGTTTGGGTATTTTCCCGCTGCGGACAATATTTCATTTATATCACGGCTTGTCACTCCACAATGTCCCTTGCCGTACATAGTATTAGTCAGGGGACACAACCCCGCCATGTTAAACGCAGCTCCTTAGATCAGAGGACTTAGTGTTGAAAGTGATAAAAAGACAGAGGGCATTGTAACAAGCTTCTATATAACGCTCAGCTTCTAGGTATTACATAATAATCCCTTGTTTTGTGCTGTAAAATATTAAATTTCGAAATAGCAATTTTAGTTTCATGCGCATGTTTGCATTCTTTAAGACTGGTATTATGCCATGACAATGTTTCTTTGGGGTCTAACATGTGATTATTTTCAACATAGGTTTTCCACAACCATCAAATCGATTCAGTGGTAAGTTTGTATACTGGCTGCTTATTCGTCATCTTGTTGTTACCCAATCATTCTAGTTTATTTTTCTGTATATTTGCACGTGTATCTAACTCAATACATATTTGAAGGCATGTCTTGCAATATATTATTTAGGGCACATAAAATTGAATTTCTTATTCTGATTCCAAAGTCCTTTGGTGTAGCGAGCTTCTAAAGACAGTCCGGTGTATCTGTCTAACTTCACGTACAGCAATAACATTATCAAGAACCGTTATTCAATTACTCAGTATCCGTTAAATGGTGTCTTTGATGAAGCATCAATGGATCATCTCACCAGAGTGGACATGCTTTTTACCCTTTACAACTTACATATAGGTTTCCAACACCCTCAGCAGCATCAGCCATCTAACAGACAGGGTAAGTCAGCGTACTCTACCCGTTGGTCTTGTAGTTTCCATTTTAGTATAGCAGCCATTCATTACATTTAACACGATTTTCATTTTAGTATATCAGCCATTCATTACATTTTACACGATTTCCATTTTAGTATAGCAATCATTCTTTACATTTTACACGATTTCCATTTTAGTATAGCAATCATTCTTTACATTTTACACGATTTCCATTTTAGTATAACAATCATTCTTTACATTTTACACGATTTCCATTTTTAGTATATAAATTATTCATTACATTTTACACGATTTCAATTTTAGTATAGCAATCATTTATTACATATATTTACTATTAGTTTCCTTTGTACATCATCATGCACATCGTTAAAGATTGGCTTCACCCAACCAGCGCATCCTGGAAGCTAGGGGAAATAACTCTTTATGCGGTTGCTAGGCTACTGTAAATGACAGTGTAGCTGAACAAACGTTTATAGAGTGTGGCTATTTATCGACAGAGATGTGACACATTAACATTTTAAGATGTAGGTCACTTAGTTTGATAATATATACTGAACAGAATAAGTTACGGATCAAGGGTCTTTTTGCGTTCAGTTTTCAAGACGAAAGAAATGACCTAAATTTTACTGATCCTAAACTGTTTTGTTCAGTATGTTTATCCTTACTGCTAGGCTTTCAACCACCTCAACATCAACACCAACATTATCAACAACAACAACAACAACAACAACAACAACAACAACAACAACAACAACAGCAGCAGCAACAGCAGCAGCAACAACAACAACAACCGAACAGGCAAGGTATGTTACAGGCTCAGGGTAACATAAAAGTTGTAGGGAAATGGCAGTGAAGGTCTGTGTAGAGGAAGCTGTTATATGGATTGACACCTTCTTTATTGCAATGGGGGGCGGCGGGGTAGCCTAGTGGTTAAAGCGTTGGCTCGTCACGCCGAAGACCCGGGTTCCATTCCCCACATAGGCACAATGTGTTAAGCCCATTTCTGGTGTCCCCCGCCGTGACTTTGCTGGAATATTGCTAAAAGCGGCGTAAAATTAAACTCAGTCAGTCAGTCAGTCAGTATTGCCATGGATGCGGCGTGTTGGTGTAGAAGCTAACACCGTTATCAAGCAAGTCATCACTCCCAAGTGGTAGCATCTACACCGAAACGTTGCATCCATTACAATAAGAAGTTATCAATCCATGTAACTGGTTCCTCCTGATCATACCGACTAAATGCTACTAAATAAAGGACTGTATTCCCAGACCAAAGCTGTAACTGTACCCACACCGTACATACCCTACCTTGGTTGATGAGACTGAAATGCAATGTCCAGCCAGTTAGGGTAACACTACGTACAGTTAGACTGAATTGGTATCAAGAACATTCGAACACAGAACACAAATATACAATAATCCACTGTTACCAATATCTATCGGTTTTAAATAACTGACGGCTACAACGAATCACTTCTTATTCCAAAATGTAGAAAGCAATAGCACAGTTCTTCAGATTGTTATAATGGATGCAACGACCTAGATCTGAGATGTATAGGTAACAAGGGCTCGTTCCCTACTTAAGGATCCATGAACTTGCGTACAATGCGAACTATGAACTATGAACAGTATATCGTAGAAAAACGTCTTCAGGAATGCTAGTTGTATGTTTATTACTCCCACAACGATCTTATCTCATATTTTCTACTCTAACATCTCAAGCACCGATGTTGCCGAGCCCTCCTCAAGGTAAACTTTGTATTGCTAGCATGCGCTGTATCCATGGCAACTGTTTGCTTATTGTCCGCAGTCAGGTGTATTCACTGAGGCTAACAATCTCAGTTACAATTAATCTGCTTGTAATGTGTCCTGGTATCTAGACAAGGTGAGACAGCTGAAGGTGTTTAGGTAGCTGGATGAAGTCAAATAACTTGTGGCGTCAGATCTTTAACACGTATCTGCAAGCGTTCAGATTACGTCGAACAGATTCACTGCTTTGAACCATCTGTATATGTGCGTGCATGCTTGAGCTGTATATTCCACTGCTTTAAGGCATTATATATATATATATATATATATATATATATACAACATTCTTGTGATTGCCTTCTCAATGTGGCTGCGTGTGCATAGTGACGTCATGTCAAATTTTTGCTCGCGATGTGATCATGCTATTTAGTGAATGAGCAGAGTGTTACGCCGCATTTACAATATTCCGGCAATACAAAAATGGGCGCTGCATATAGTGTATTCGGGCATTGAACCAGGGAGCACTTACCCCATCATGAAATTAAGGCACATGTTCGTGGTTGTTAGTAGCTGGTCTAATCCCTGACGTAGCTACACAGTTAGATACTCTTAAATCTGTCAATCAATCTTTGTCCCGATTACTCAATGACCTCAGGTCTATAGTACACTATACACATTTGCTTTATACACGCTCAAGGAACAAAAAGGTAAAGATCTAAATCTGTCAAAAATTGAATTCTTAGCTGACTGTGAGAAAGCATATAACGTGTTTTTGTTATCTATAATTGATACCCACTGCGTACGTCCAGCTTCTGTTGGTGTCGGGAAGGTGTGTAGCTCAAATGGTGTGCTGTAATTGTGTATTTCCCGTGTTATCTTTGCGAGACAATGAGTGAGTGAGTGATCTGGGTTTTCGCCGCATTCAGCAGTAGCCCAGCTACTTCTCGGCGTGTCAGTTTAATGATGCATTAATAATGAATTAATGAGTTAAATATTTCAGACACTATTTCAGTCACAGAGCTACGATTATACAGGGACAATTATTTACAGTTGTTTTAGAAAAGTTATATATTAACCAGTTTGTAAAATATATTTTTATTGTAAAATATACTGAACTGGTAACACCTAAAGACACATTTAAGCATCCTAGGTAGCTGTTTACTGTAGGGTTTATAACGGTAAATTCCATGTAAGAGGCTATGTGACGTGTATGTGTCGCTATATCACAAGCTTACCATGGTCTACAATGCTATCTACACAGTCCCTGCCAGCCCCAAAGCAGCTGTGGTCGCAGCAGCTGGTAAGTGATGTCTTAGAACAGCTTCAATACTAAACTATCGGCCTAAAGGAAGTTTTCTCTTGAACTTTATACTTGACCGAAACATGCTAACGTTATCAACGTTATCGTCCAAAACGGAAAGATGGCATCCGTATGACGTGACTCATCCTTGAATGACCTTTGAAGGACTATTGCTTGTTGTTTGATATGGAGACAGTTTCGTATTTCAGTGACAGCAGTAGCCGCTCTTGTTGTAGGTCTTGTTGTAGGTCTTGCTGTAGGTCTTGTTGTAGGTCTTTGATCGGCACTGGAAACAGCATACAGACCTTTTAGGGATAAATGGCTGTTTATTGTTTGTAATGACGTGTGGCGGCTTCTCCTTTGCCCAATCACAGAACCGTGGCTTGTTTTAGTCCTGGCCTCTGCTCACAAGAACGCGTCCTCGCCATCTCTGTAATAACCGTGGACTCTAACTCTTCGACTAAGTGAGTGAGTTTAGTTTTACGCCGCTTTTAGCAATATTCCAGCAAAGTCACGGCGGGGGACACCAGAAATGGGCTTCACACATTGTACCTATGTGGGGAATCGAACCCGGGTCTTCAGTGTGACGAGCGAACGCTTTAACTACTAGGCTACCCCACCGCCCCTTGGCATCAAAGACCCAGAAAAACCTCATCGTGTTTTATCCAGGACAAGTGGTATAATTACTCACCACGCTTCAACCATTCGGCTTCACCATTGCCTCATTAGAGAAGAAGACATCCGAACGACAGCAATGTTTGACAGCTAGCACGATTGACTGCTCCTGGCAGAGTCACTCTATATCGGACATTCCACAGTGTTTCTGTGAGCCTGTGAGCGTTTCTGTGAGCCTGAAGGCAAGGTGTCTTTTCCGTATTTTGTGAATGTAGAATGTTCTGTTCTTGATCCAACTGCCGGTTCACCAGCAACATACAAACCAACTTCCAGCTGCAGTTTGACAATTAGTTTCACTTCACATCTGTGATACAGATTAATCCATTATTAATTTTGTGTATATGTCCCGGAACTTGACGGCGCATAATTATTAACAGATTCCAGATTCCCCTTCCCCCCCAGGAATCCCCCCCTTTCTGTTTCTGTTTCATTCAGAAGTACATGTTTATCTGCAGGTCCGAACCCCCCAGTCCCCGGCCCCGCGGCAGGTGGTCTCGTCCCGAAGATACCAGGTAAGCACACGGAATTTAATACACATTTCCATCAACGTTACGGCATCAAATTAATTAATCATCTGTCACGGGTACTTACTTTAAAACGATTGGCTCAGGTCTGGTGACTTGGCTGGATGTTGTCCAGGAGTGCCCTATAACAGAACTGACATCGCCTCCGCGTAGTCATTGACATTTTGTGCAGCAACAGCAGCGGGGGTGGAATGTTGGACGACTTGAATCTTGAACTAATTATTGAATATGTCTGCATCCTTTTGTCCTTTGAGATCTCGTCATGAAAGCCACCGAATTCTGACCGTTCAATGTCAATTCCGACGATAATATTTCAATAGTTTTAAATTACATATACTGTGTACAAGATCAGAGTTTGTTTCGTTGCTTGGAAATAAAGACAACGATTGATAAATTTACTGAAGAAACCTACTCGATTAAAATCAACGGGGATAGATCAATGAAAAATTACCCACAATTTTTACTGATCCTTGACAGAGGGGAAGACATTCTCATTCCCTCATTGCCACTATGTTCTAACTTGTTTACTTCCCGTTTGCAGCTATGGTCACTCAGTTCATGGGCATGAGCATACACGGTAAGAGTTTTAATTTAGAAAACAGATTCAAATATTAAATGTATAAAATGAAACAACCCCGTAACGTACTTACAATGACAAGACAGCAAGGAATTATGTACCGTCCAATTAAAACTTTCATGACTTAAAATACAACATTAATAAAAATAATGATGATGATAATGATGATGATTATAATACAAGATTTATACGTGAAAATTCCTTTGTTTCAGACATCTGCGCTGCCTTGAGTGAGTACATAAAGACCTTTGACGTCACTACTTCTTTGTGTGACGTAACTCACTATATGACGTAACAGTGGAATGTTGCTCTGCGGATTATAATTGGAATAATATACAAATGCTAATGCTGTATCGATTGTCTCAGCTAAATATCACGCTCACAAGTAGATTTTAAAAGAGGTAAAATATTCTTAATGCAGAAACGTTATGCAAGTGTTTAGATTGAGTACAACGTCATTAATTGATCGTGTTTGTGTTTTCAGCATTAAAGGGGACCGGAGCCCAGTGTATGTATAATACTTCTTTCGTTTGTAGAGTTAGTGAGTGAGTGAATGAGTATGGATTTATGCCGATTTTTTGGCATTATTCCAACAATGTGACCACGTGGACACGGAACTGTGGGGTATCGAACCCAATTTGAACAAGCCGAAAGAGAGCGTTCAGACCACGGGTCTAACCCACAGCCTGGGTTTTAGACATGGAACGTGTTGTGAATCATTACCTTGTAAAAGAAGGACTACAACCATGTTCGGTTAAAACAAACAAGAAATGTTGATTGGATGGCTGTTTAACACGAGTATAATAACAGCTGGAGTTTGGAACTCAAGCTTGCAGTCGTCTTGGTGTCTAGTAACATTTTGACAACGTTTGAGATTCTTGGTTAAGTCCTTATGAAAGAGTATACTTTCTATGGCAGTTATTGATACGTTTCGAATATTGAGGTAACTATCTGAAGTGTAGTAATAGTATTTCGAACTCACCACACAGAGTGTTTGAAGTTTACCTCCTCCTGTACAATGTTCCGGGATGACAATGTGAAACAATGTTTGGACAACGGCTGATTGTCTCTTATCTGTTTCAGCTGATGCCTTGGACACGATCGTCAAAAACAGATTCCCAAGTGAGTACGGAATATATCAGCACTTAATGTCAGGAATTGACAGAATTGTTGATTTTCTATAGAATCAGTGATTCAGTGAGTGAGTGTAGAGGGCGGCGTAACACAACATTCATTCATCAGTCCTCTCCAATCCGTACCTGCCTGCTGCTAAAGTCAACCAGAGAAGTGCTGTGTTTGTTTGTTGTCGTTTAACGCCGTAGTTAGCAATATTCCAGCTATATGGTGGCGGTCTGTAAATAGTCGAATCTGGATCAGACAATCCAGTGATTGGGGTACGATGACATGTGTCAACCAAGTCAGCTAGCCTGACCAGACATTCAACTAGAAAACAAATGAAAGTTAACTATTTTGTAATCAAATATCCCACTGTGATACATTTTGAAACAAACTGGTGTGTGTATGTTACAGATGCATCTGTGGTGACCGGGTTCCGAAACAGAAGCAACCAGATGGAGTACAAGCAGATGTTTGGCTCGGGTCCATGGGCCTGTAAGTAGCGCCACCTACCTACCGCCATGGCAGTCTCAGTGACATATCTTGTTCTATAGTGACATATTTGTTAATAACATTACACCATTCAGTGTGTTACCGTTGTCAGCACCGTTGTAGCAGTTGTGTCGAACAAGTGTCGAAAGATCTTAAAAATCATTTGGAATGCTTCAGTTGCCATGAATTACGTTCACACATTTACACGTACATCCAGTCCTTCCTAAAGTACTTGTCGACTTGATGTGCTAGGTATCTGACAGGTGTGCTAGAATATATGAACAGATATAATACAGTAAAGCAGATGTCCTACATAAACTATCATACCTTTCTTATTATACATCAGCTTATATAATGCAAATCAAACAGATCAAGAGATATATGTTCTTCTTTATTCGTTTCAGGTGCATTCGACTTCTATGCAGGTGAGAACACGTGTCTATGTATATATGTAATGTTGAACAGTTTGAATAACACTATCTTTAGAAGGAGTGAGTGAGTGAGTTTAGATATACGCCACTTTTAGCAATATTCCAGCTGTGACACGGCGGGGACACCAGAAATAGGCTTCAGACATTATACGCATGTAGGAAATCGAACTCGGGCCTTCGGCATGACGAGCGAACGCTCTAACGACAGGGCTACCCACCGCCCCCACTAGAAGGATGAAGTCGCTATAGACGGAATATCCTGTTGTGTCATGAATGCGTAAAGGGAAATGTAGCAAGTATCACAATCATTGGGGCTGGCCATCGATGGTGATCATAGAGATCGATAATCGTTAACTCAGAAACGATTGATAATTGATACATATTGGAGAAATGTATTGGAAAATGAAAATATGTTCGAAAGAAATCAACATATTTCATATCGCAGGTGTGTGGTGACACATTTGTGAATGGATTACCGAGGAATACAGTGATCTGAACTTAATTTAGAAGTGAACCATAAATAGTGAGTCAGCGAAACTTGAACTTACCATCGGCAATATTTCAGCCATATTGTGACAGTATATCGTTGTGTACTGTGTGTGTAAGGTTACACGTCTTGTTTGTCAAAATAGTAAATGGAAAATATCATCGATGGCACAATTTTCACATCGATAATCATTAACGTTCTTACCATCGTCCATATTCCGAGTATGGAGTTTTCAGCCAACCCTAATGATTTCTGACAGTTGAAAACACTGACACATCCACAATTACTGTTTATTAATGTATATGTTCATCTGTTATAGCTCGGAACCCAATGGAAGTCGGTAAGTAAAGTCCACCACACGTTTCTAATTTGTCCTTCCTTGCTACTTAAGTCGTTGTTGTCATGGCATACGTCATGGACAGGTATACTTTACGGAGTTGCGTCCCTTGGTACCGCAAGCTCCAATCATGGATTCAAATCCAATCGTAACTACTCGTCCCTTTCCGTAACCTGAAAGACGACTCGTACCCCTCTCGTAGCTGTCCGGGAGAAATATCCCCCTGCCAATCAGAATGCGCGTATGTAGAGAAATTGTCTCAAAATAGTTAGCTGAAATAATTTTCATTTTGCATAATTCTTTTCCGAGACACTTCAAGGATATTTTAATTATTTTATAGTCTTCCTGATTTTTTATAACCAGGATATATCAACATTATGGCGTAGGAAAGTATTTAAGCATGTTAAACACACCCTTTGTGGTAATTTCCTTGGCGTGGATGCCATGTTTGTTTTCCAAGTAAACTAGAGTTACGTACCCTTGGAAAAAGTTCGGCGTCTTGAGTATTTCTTTCTCTCTGCGATTTTGCGCTTAGACAGATGGCTACGAGATGGGTACGAGTCTTCTTTCAGGTTACGGAAAGGGACGAGTAGTTACGAATGATTCCGATCCTGATGAGGCGCCGGGACATGACTGAAATATTGTCTGTTCAAGGCTGCGAAAATCAAAACTGTTTTGTTCATTCCCATATTCTTCATAAATTAGGTTAAAATAGTTAACTTAAATGATTCTGATGATTATATCATTACTCTTATTGTTATTATTATTTATTATTATCATTACTTTCATTTTCTTCACAGCCGGAGCATTTTCGGATCTCGTTGATGGTAAGTTGATCACACAGAAGAATTTTCATAAATCAACAATAAAAAACATTAATAAACCATACTAATCCCTTCTCTAAAATGCCTCTACTGATAGCAGGGACTCTTGCACGATACCGAATTTATGGCAAAGCCTGTGTTTAAATCACGATCAGTGATGACAGTAGGTGTTTCTGGTCTTTTCATCTCCACTTATCCGTTAATAATAATAATGATATTCATAATAATATTAGAGACTGTCTCACGCTCTGGATAATTGATAATACACAGTTGGGAGCTTTCATATTCTCATGAAAGTTCTTGGTGGGTTCAACTGGGCAGCGTTTCCTGGGAGAAGTCCCATTCGCTGTCTGGGCTGCGTGTAGAGGGGGCAAGGGCCCTGAGCTGATGATGAGCCTTACCAGCCTGTCTGTGCCAGGATCACCCGAACCCTCTATACTGCATAATGTTTTTAATCTGTAAAATATTAATACTATGTGATCTGTATGGCTGAGGCCACCATATAGTAACTGAGTGCTTCACATAAGAAGGTAACTCTTTCATAGATGCAAAATACTCCTACTGCCTGAATAATAGAACCGTAAACTACTTACAAGAAGAGAAGAAACACCTGGTTCCTTTATACTACTGTATATCTGCCACAGCATTATACATTACCTATTGAAATAATCCAAGTTGTTTAACTTCTAGTGAGTAGTATTCAACATACGTTTACAATCTAAGACAATCGTTTCATGTTTACATAGACGTTTACTTATCTGTTTACTTTCAGGTGCTGGCTGCAACATTGTTTGTGACAGTAAGTAATCAAGGTTTCTTGTTTTTAATCTAAAATTTGAAATACAACTAATGTAAATTTACACGCTAGGGGCACGGCTTGTCCAGTTGTCTTGGGCCCGAGTCCACTGTCCAGTTGTTTCAACTTGTTTGGGCCCGTGTTCAGTGTCCAGATGTTGGGGCCCGCTTTGTCCCAGTTAGGATCTGCTATGTACCCGAATTCGGAGCGTGTGGCTTTCAACTCTGGACCTCACGTTTAACAAGTAACTGAACTCGAACCGGGGTTAAACCCAGTCACTCTCTCGATCCTTGTGGTTAAAGCGGTCGCTCGTCGTGCCGAAGACCCGGGTTCGATTCCTCACATGGGTAGAATGTACGAAGCTCATGTGTCCACCGACGTGTTGCAGGAATATTGCATAACATGGTGTATAAGCAAACTCACTCACTCTAACACCAAGCAGATACACGATGGTGTTGTGTTCAAAGACGCGCTACACCCAGCATACACGTGTGTGCATAACGCCGTGATATTGCTGGAATGTGGCTAAACGCGGCGTAAAACTAAACTCATTCATTCTGTTTACAGAAATCCGTGGGCCTCGTAAGATCGGCATGATGGGAATGCTGGCAGCGATGAATGGCGGTCAAAATCCCATGGGACCAATGGCAAATCCCCTGGCTGCTTTAGGAAACCTGATGAGTGGTATGGGAAACCCGATGGGCGGTATGGGAAACCCGATGGGCGGTATGGGAAACCCAATGGGCGGTATGGGAAACCCGATGGCAGGTATGGGAAATCCTATGGGTGGAATGGGAAACCCGATGGCCGGTATGGGAAATCCAATGAACGGTATGGGAAACCCGACAGGAGGAATGGGAAACCCGTCAGGCGGAATGGGAAACCCGACAGGCGGAATGGGAAACCCAATGGGGGGTATGGGAAATCCAATGAATGGTATGGGAAATCCTATGAACGGTAATCCTAACAATGGTGGGAACAATATGCAAAACCTTATGGGAAATATTGTCAACCTGATGCAAAATCCGGGTCCAAAATCGGGCGCTATGGGAAATGGAAGACCTCAAGGCCAGGGCCCAAACAATGGACATCAGTTCGTTCCCCCATCCCCCCAGCCTCCACGTGGAAACAGATGGGGACACCCTGGACCTTTCCCAGCTAGAGCCCCACTGCCTTTCCCCGACCCCAGCACACAGAACGCTGCCCTCTGGGGAAAGGATCCCTTCCAGATTACACCTCCCCAGCCACAGCCACAACAGCCACAACAGCCACAGCACCCACAACAGCCACAACAGCCACAGCACCCACAACAGCCACAACAGCCACACCACCCACAACAGCATCAACCACAGCCAACATCTCAGCCACAGCCCACCCAGGTGCCGTTCAACCAACAGATGCCCCAAATTCCTCTCCATCAGAATCATTTCCCCAGCCAACCTCAGAACCAAAGACCGTCGCCATTCCCACAGCCACCAAATGTCCAGCCTCAACCTCAGCCACCTCAACAGCAGCAGCCACAACCACAGCCACAACAGCCTACACAGCCACAAGGACTTAGTGCCAATATGCCAAACTTGCCACAAAATCAGGTCAGTTTTCTATAGTTTTTAGATCACGTGACTATACAATGAAACTGATGGTCCTAGCCATTAAACCCCATAGCCATTAGTGTCGTTGTTCTGGATCCCTGGTAGTCTAAGCGTGGAGACGTTACCACTGATAGTCCATAGAGTGTGCTACCGTCCGGATTATCGAGGTGTGCTACCGTCCGGATTATCGAGGCCATAATGTAATCATAAGGGGCATTTGTTTATATTATTATTATTTTTATTATTATTATTTTTTAACATAATGAGCATACACTAGGTGTGGAAACGGCGCCATTTTCCTTACGAATTTTTTGTTCCCGAAATTCGCCAACACAGCCAATGTTACTGGGCACTGTACTGTCCAGTTTCATTCAAACATGTAAAATTAAATAATTTATAAATAAGGAAGAATCAACATCAGAAAATATACCAGTCTCTATAATCCATTGGTCGAAAAAGACTGAAATACCGATAAATACTGTATGAATAACTGAAAACTCGGTCATAACACCATGTGTTCCCGTAAAGTGAAATCACATCTTGCTTGACCGCATTTGTAGCCGAAGTTATTCATTCGTAGTCATTCTCTGTAATAACCGTACACTCTAACTCTTCGGCTAAGCCAGTGAGAATGGTTTTACGCCACTTTTAGTAATATTCCACCAATATTACGGCGGGGGACAACAGAAATGGGCTTCACACATTGTACCCATGTCGGGAATCGAACTCTGGTTTTCCGTGGGACCCGCGGACACTTTAACCACTAGGCTACCCCACCGCCTTCTTCGACTGACAGGACATCAGCAACGGCTGCTGCAACTTACTTCATTTCTAATGGTTTCCCCCTTTTCTCAGGATCCCAAAATAGCCCCCCATCTCTCCGAGGCACTGCAGAGGATGCCCGAGCCACAGAGGACCCAGTTCGTAAACGATGCCATATCAGCCTTCTTCAGGACACTCGGAATACAGCTGCCGAGCCCCCAGCAACAGGCCAACAATCACAGAGGTAGGCGCGGTGTAGACACTGGTGTCGAGAGAGCGTGGGCGTGTAAGAGAGTATACTTTACGTCGTGTCAGAGAGTATGGTTTTACGTCGTGTCAGAGAGTATGGTTTTAGGTCGTGTCAGAGAGTATGGTTTTACGTCGCTTCGAGCAATACTGCTGCAATTTCAGGGCATGGGAGACCGGAAATGAGCTTCACGCATTTATCAATAGGGAATAGAACCCGAATGTTCACCACTACACCACCAACCTCCCTTACTGTGTTTTAAACTCGTAGTGGCATGTGTTTGTACATACGTATAGTCATGTCTATGTACATGCGAATGTAACACAAATACAATGATATAAGATAAGTTAGTTCCACCTAAAGTGTTCAAATTGTAAGTTTACATCACTTCCGGTTTTACTCCCAAGATGACACGCCCTGATATAACTGAAATACGCTTATGAAAAATATCCTCTGTGTGCGAAATGCGCATCTTGTCGAAAAGGGCACGTAAAATCTCCAAATCACCATCTTAAAAAAGTCCAGTAATATTCAAGCTGGTTAACCTCTTTCTTTAATTGTACTGCTAACTTTGTTATATGTTTTCTTTTAGGGTGGTGATGTCAAGGTCAACCCTGATGATTAGATTGTGTGATTCGGTCAGTGCCGACCGAAGACGTCATGTCCAAGGCAACGACAGCATCAGTAACAACAAGCTAGTGGACCAATCAACTTTAAGCTCCAGAACGTGGGCTTTGTATGAAAGCCAGGTGACTGAATGTGTGCTTGCTCTTTAGTTGTAATAAAGAGCTCAGTAGATAGTATGACGTGTCCCTTGTTTGTTGGTCAATTATTTTTAATGTAAGAGGAGATAACTCTGTACACTCAACTAACGGTTCAAGACGAACAGGGGCGGTGGGATAGCCGAGGACCCGGGTTCGATTCCCCACATGGGTACGATGTGTGAAGCCTATTTTTGGTGTCCTCCTCCGTAATATTGCTGGAATATTGCTAAAAGCGGCGTAAAAACTAAACTCACTCACTCAAGACGAACACTTGTCTCTTGATTATGACAAGGAGAACTGAAGGCTAACCTTGCGGTTTACGTTTTGACAGTAATACAGCCACGTGTGTGTATCTTTGTAAACCAGTGAGCGGTTGAGTATGGTTTTATGCCGTTTCCAGCAATATTCCAGCAATATCACGATATCAATGTAAATGGGCTTCACACACTGTACTCATGAGGGGTTGTATACCAGACTAATGCCTGGCTACTGACCCACTGGGATGCCATGTCTCATGCCTGGCTACTGACCCACTGGGATGCCATGTCTCATGCCTGTCTACTGACCCACTGGGATGCCATGTCTCAGTTAGGCAGTGATATCACACTGGGACATGGTATATTAACTCAAAGCCGAACAGTGAGTGAGTGGGTTTAGTTTTACGCCGCACTCAGCAATATTACAGCTATATGGCGGCAGTCTGTAAGTAATCGAGTCTGGACCAGACAATCCAGTGATCAACATCATGAACATCGATCTAGGCAATTTGGGTACGATGACATGTGTCAACCAAGTCTCAATGCAAGGATAGATTGATGTTATCATACGAGTCTGTTATCGTATGGTAAATATCCTGTGTTGGGAATAACGATTGTCTTTAGCGAGCCTTGGAGAGCTGCCTTCATTATTCACTAAGTCCATACCTAATACAAGTACCTCTACATCATACTATGCCATGATTAAATCCAGTCACCATTCTCATTTATTTTAAACAGTAACAAAACATTAATTGCGTTGATGTAATTGTGGCCTAAACTTTATTTTTAGAGATTTAGCTTTCTTTCCACGTTCGTTCAGTCACAAATATTGGGCCAAACCATTATAACCAGTTTTAATTAACGAAGGGGAGGTACGTACTTGACTTACCAGCCCCACCATCAACAACTCCACCCACAAACGTTGTTTCTCTATTTCTCAAATTGGAATTAATTCACACTGTTACGGTTCATAATTGCCGTGACAAATGGTTTCAGAGTCCTCATTGAACCATCAAGCAGAATATAGACAAGTCTAAAATAGTCAGTAATATATTGAATAAACAATGAACAAGGTTACAATGAATGACAATACAGATTTCTAGTGCAATGCATGCATAAGTCCCAACACATTTAAAGTAAATTTAAACTTGCCACCTTTTTAATCGTAGAATATGTGTGCTTTTAATTTATTGCTAGATTTCTCTTCCATCACCAATGGCTGAAGGGAGGGTGTAAATCCAACTAGGGTCCATGCAGGTAGCCAAGGTACTGTAAGTCCCCATGGTCCCTAGCTAGTATGGTGATCTACCTTCAGTTGTTGGCGATCTATAGCCTATTGTTATATTGTGCTGTCCCCCTATAGTTGAAATGTTTTAGATTTAATTACTAGTTTTAAATTCGAATCTGTGATAATCTAGTTATTTTACTGTCCTTCGCTGACAGGTTTTTACAGTTTACCATAACTTACTATGTATAAAATTAATTGTTCTCGTCACGATATGGCTGAAATATTGCCGATGTGACGTTAAATTTTAACTCACTCACTCACTCTAATACAATGCAATTGAGTCACAAATCTAAAATATTAACTCACCAGTGTCTTGACATTCACATTGAGAAGAGATATACTGACTGAAAGTTGTTGACAATGACAGCAGTTGAACAGACAAGCACGGTCGGTCTTGAAACGTTGATACACTTGATGATGGCAGACAGATGAGTCCGAGGTTCACTCGAACAACTCACACAACAATCATCCTTGATATAGCTTTTACACAGTTCTCGAGATTTTAGCAAAGATAGGCTACACCGCTATCCTGTCAGAACGTTATAGAATGCCATCGAAAACACAAGACACCACGAGAACCATCAGTAAAAACCCAGCCGAGGGCAGGTAACTCCACAGTGCTATCTCAAAAGGCATGTCGCTAAAAATACTATTGCCATTGACCACACATTATGCGAGATGCGAGCCCAAACCCACACTCAAAACTTTAAACATTGTGACCCATAATAACTATCAGTTAATCACTGTGGTACTACAACTTGCAAAAATCAAACTCTTACACCAAGATGTCTGACACAATGCAAAAAATAGAACTTTATGTAGTTCACGCATTTGGCTGTTTAAGGTTAGGACTTGATTTGCAACTATCAAACATCATCTAGATTTCTCATATCAGTAATTCAACCAACATTAATTCGTTCTTTTTTCTTCTGCATCTTCATGTTGTTAAAAATTTTAATTGGTGTTATAGTCTGTTTGGCTCAAAATCAGACCGATGAATTGCAAAACTACTAAACATATAATGATCAATGAAACACTGATCATAATCAAAACATCAGACCAACTCTGTGATTTTTTTAGCAGATTTGATGTCCTAAAATTAAAAAAAGTTGTTTAACAAACTATCTTTAAAAGTTTGAAAAAGTTGACTATTTTGTACGAGGGAGGGCTGCAAAGAGAGAAACAGCCAGATGTGCGAGAAAGGATCGAGACAGCACATCACAGGTAAATGATTCAATAACTTTGTCGGCACTTGTGCACGTGCTCCTCGTACATCCGGCTGTTCCTCTCTTTGCAGCCCTCCCTCGTAACAAATAGTGAAATATATCAAACATTTAATGATAGTTTGTTAAACAACTTTTTTAATTTTTAGGATATAAATTTGGCAAAAAAAATCACAGAGTTGTTCTGATGTTTTGATTATGATCAGTGTTTCATTGAGTATTATATGTTTAGTAGTTTTCTAGTTAGATTGGAATTCATTGGTCCGATTTTGAGCCAAACGGACTATAGTTACAGAAAACGTTGCTTCAGGAAAACCTTTAAATTTATCAATTCATCGGATATGTCTAAACTGCAAACACTCTCTTCTATGTAAACTCTTATGAAAAGATGTTAATTTTAAAGAAGTCGTATATCCATAAAACCCTCCCCGGTGAGACTGCCTCCGTGGTGTAGTGGTTAGAGCGTCCACCCGTAGAGCGGAAGGTCGCGGGTTCGATCCCCGACCGCGTCATACCAAAAGACGTTAAAATATGGTACTTGTTGGTCCCTGCCTGGAGCTCGGCATTAATGGGTACAACAAGGACTGGTCGGCTCGGAGTCAGTATAATGTGTCTGAGTGGGGTATTCATGCCTCACTGCGGCATGGTATCTCAGTGGGCTAGCACTATAAAACCAGCTTCAGTCTGGGCTAGTACAAGCAGCCGCACATACACATACACACGCATGCACGTCGTCATATGAGCGAAATATTCTCAAGCACGACGTTAAACCCAATTTCACCTCACCTCACCTCACCGTTGTACCTCGCACTGACGTTTATGCCCCACGGCCGAGATCTAATCGTGAGAGGCGCCAGTAAAATCTGCTCCTGCTGGTCATCTAGTGTTCATGACATTTGCCACTTGCAGCTGCATGCACCTTCTGACGCTTTGTTGTCTGAATATGTGTCTGTGCTTGATGTTTCACGTATTACACGTGAGTGTGTGTTTGATCCTCGCTTGACCGAATGTTTGCCTGTGCTTGATGCTTCACATATTACACGCGCGTCTGTGTTTGATCATCGCTTGACCGAATGTTTGCCTGTGCTTGATGCTTCACATATTACACATGTGTCTGCGTTTGATCATCGCTTGACCGAATGTGTGCCTGTGCTTGATGCTTCACATATTACACTTGTGTCTGTGTTTGATCCTCGCTTGACAGAATTTGTCTGTGCTTGATGCTTCACGTATTACACGTGTGTTTGTGTTTGATCCTCGCTTGACCGAATGTGTCTGTGCTTGATACTTCACGAATTACACGCAAGTCTGAGTGTGAACTCGCTTGACGGAATGTGTATGTGCTTGATGCTTCACGTATTACACGTGTGTCTGTGTTTTATCCTCGCTTGACTGAATGTGTGTCTGAGCTTGCTACTTCACGTATTACACGTGTGTCTGTTTTTGACCCTCGCTTGACTGATGGGTCTGTGCTAAATGCTTCACGTCTTACACGTGTGTCTGTGCTTGATCCTCGCTTGACTGAATGTGTGTCTGTCCTTGATACTTCACGTATTACACGTGCGTCTGTGTTTGATCATCGCTTGACTGAATGTGTGTCTGTGCTTGGTGTTTCACGTATTGCATATGCGTGTACGTTTGATCCTCGCTTGACCGAATGGGTCTGTGCTTGATGCTTCACGTATTACACGTGTGTCTGTGTTTGATCCTCGCTTGACTGAATGTGTGTCTGTGCTTGATACTTCACGTATTACACGTGCCTCTGTGTTTGATGCTCGTTTGACCGAATATATCTGTGCTTGATACTTCACGCGTCTTACACGTGCGTGTGCGTTTGATCCTCGCTTGACCGAATTGGTCTGTGCTTGATGCTTCACTTATTGCACGTGTGTCTGCGTTTGATCCTCGCTTGACTGAATGTGTGTCTGTGCTTGGTGCTGCACGTATTACACGTGTGTCTGTGTTTGATCCTCGCTTGACCGAATGGGTCTGTGCTTGATGCTTCACGTATTACAAACGTGTCTGTGTTTGATCCTCGCTTGACTGAATGTGTGTCTGTGTATGGCACGTGTATTAGTACATGGTGTAGCCACCCCTCGCACTCAAAACATCTCACAGTCTCCTCCAAATTGTGGCAAACAGGCATCTAATTTTCACCGTCGGGATCCTCTGACATTCCCCTATAGAGCCAGCCTGAATGCCTTGAAATTTCGAAAGCCGCATTTCCATTCACAGTGCAATAGACGAAGAAACCTGAAAAAGTACATAGAACACTTGTACTTTCAAGTGTTCCCTTACTTTGTTTTCCCAGTATATTACTTTCAGTAGCTTGTGAAAAGTCGGGTACATCTGCACCTAAAACAGATAACAGAATCTCATCATCCAACGTAGACTAGAAGTTTACAACATCAACAGTTTATCAATTAAAGATGCGAAAACGGACATAATAACTTCAGTGCCAAAGTGTCTTTAACGCACATACTGCAGTTATGACATTTCTACCCTAAACTGCTTGGCGCTTTCGCAGTACTGAACATGCGACCCATAGCTTTTCTTTACATGTGCAGTCCCTTATGCGTTCCTGTTGGGAACAAGGGCGGTGGGGTCGCTCGTCACGCCAAAGACCCGGGTTCGATTCCTCACATGGTCACGCAACATACATAGCTGATAGAATAAGCAAAGGAAGACTATTGCCACATGACCATCGTGGTATAGACCCGGATCGTAATGATGAACCACCGTCCCCTCGACTAGACCCAGGCAAATCATGAATCACAATTCCAATAGCTACACATTGTGTAAATTATGACTAGTGATAAGACAGTAGAAAACTGTTTCACCGAGCTGGTGACGTAGCGTATTACTACGCATATATGTGTGACGACATAGATATCGGCGAACATTCCACGAAGTTTAGTTTTATGATTTGAAATCGTTTTTTTATAAATAATAAAGTAGGAGTGACATTGTATGATAAATAGGTTATCACACTCATGTGTTTTGGTATGGGGACACACACTATATATTTAGCTCGCCAAGGCCCGCCAAATACAATGGTTATTCCTAATGCAGGGTTACCATCCCGAAACATACACGCGTGATAACCTATCGGTATTTTCCATATTTTTCTGGCCCCTTGTTATGACTGACACACGATTCAAAGCAGTGCTGCATAAACACAGCAAGTATACCTACATACCAAGGACATACACGCTTTAAAAACGGATTTGACTAAAAGCAGTCCCGCGGAAGTTGCAAAAATACGAACACAACTATATCCTACTCACACTTTGCTGAGGATTTCCAAATTTCACAACTTACTTAAACGTAGATTTATAATTTGAAATTGTATCCATTTAAAACTGGATAAATAATGATATGGTAACACATCTTTAGGAAATCAGCCATTTTAATCTAACCTGCTTCTAACCCATGTTTAGGACGCAGTTAGTCATTCATGGGCTGCTTGTAACCCATGTTTAGGACGCAGTTAGTCATCCATGGGCTGCTTGTAACCCATGTTTAGGACGCAGTTAGTCATTCATGGGCTGCTTCTAACCCATGTTTAGGACGCAGTTAGTCATCCAAGGGCTGCTTCTAACCCATGTTTAGGACGCAGTTAGTCATCCATGGGCTGCTTGTAACCCATGTTTAGGACGCAGTTAGTCATCCATGGGCTGCTTCTAACCCATGTTTAGGACGCAGTTAGTCATCCATGGGCTGCTTGTAACCCATGTTTAGGACGCAGTTAGTCATCCATGGGCTGCTTCTAACCCATGTTTAGGACGCAGTTAGTCATTCATGGGCTGCTTCTAACCCATGTTTAGGACGCAGTTAGTCATCCATGGGCTGCTTCTAACCCATGTTTAGGACGCAGTTAGTCATCCATGGGCTGCTTGTAACCCATGTTTAGGACGCAGTTAGTCATCCATGGGCTGCTTCTAACCCATGTTTAGGACGCAGTTAGTCATCCATGGGCTGCTTCTAACCCATGTTTAGGACGCAGTTAGTCATCCATGGGCTGCTTCTAACCCATGTTTAGGACGCAGTTAGTCATCCATGGGCTGCTTCTAACCCATGTTTAGGTCGCAGTTAGTCATCCATGGGCTGCTTGTAACCCATGTTTAGGACGCAGTTAGTCATCCATGGGCTGCTTCTAACCCATGTTTAGGACGCAGTTAGTCATCCATGGGCTGCTTGTAACCCATGTTTAATCCATGGGCTGCTTGTAACCCATGTTTAGGACGCAGTTAGTCATCCATGGGCTGCTTCTAACCCATGTTTAGGACGCAGTTAGTCATTCATGGGCTGCTTGTAACCCATGTTTAGGACGCAGTTAGTCATCCATGGGCTGCTTCTAACCCATGTTTAGGACGCAGTTAGTCATCCATGGGCTGCTTCTAACCCATGTTTAGGACGCAGTTAGTCATCCATGGGCTGCTTCTAACCCATGTTTAGGACGCAGTTAGTCATCCATGGGCTGCTTGTAACCCATGTTTAGGACGCAGTTAGTCATCCATGGGCTGCTTGTAACCCATGTTTAGGACGCAGTTAGTCATCCATGGGCTGCTTCTAACCCATGTTTAGGGACGCAGTTAGTCATCCATGGGCTGCTTCTAACCCATGTTTAGGACGCAGTTAGTCATCCATGGGCTGCTTGTAACCCATGTTTAGGACGCAGTTAGTCATTCATGGGCTGCTTGTAACCCATGTTTAGGACGCAGTTAGTCATTCATGGGCTGCTTCTAACCCATGTTTAGGACGCAGTTAGTCATCCATGGGCTGCTTGTAACCCATGTTTAGGACGCAGTTAGTCATCCATGGGCTGCTTGTAACCCATGTTTAGGACGCAGTTAGTCATCCATGGGCTGCTTCTAACCCATGTTTAGGACGCAGTTAGTCATCCATGGGCTGCTTGTAACCCATGTTTAGGACGCAGTTAGTCATCCATGGGCTGCTTCTAACCCATGTTTAGGACGCAGTTAGTCATCCATGGGCTGCTTCTAACCCATGTTTAGGTCGCAGTTAGTCATCCATGGGCTGCTTCTAACCCATGTTTAGGACGCAGTTAGTCATCCATGGGCTGCTTCTAACCCATGTTTAGGACGCAGTTAGTCATCCATGGGCTGCTTCTAACCCATGTTTAGGACGCAGTTAGTCATCCATGGGCTGCTTCTAACCCATGTTTAGGACGCAGTTAGTCATCCATGGGCTGCTTGTAACCCATGTTTAGGACGCAGTTAGTCATCCATGGGCTGCTTCTAACCCATGTTTAGGACGCAGTTAGTCATCCATGGGCTGCTTCTAACCCATGTTTAGGTCGCAGTTAGTCATCCATGGGCTGCTTGTAACCCATGTTTAGGACGCAGTTAGTTATCCATGGGCTGCTTCTAACCCATGTTTAGGACGCAGTTAGTCATCCATGGGCTGCTTCCAACCCATGTTTAGGACGCAGTTAGTCATCCATGGGCTGCTTCTAACCCATGTTTAGGACGCAGTTAGTCATCCATGCATAAACATATCACCACTAACCAGTGGTGTGGAAAGTATTCATTTCTTTCAGACCTTCTTGGCATATTTGCTAAAAGTTACTTCCCCGATATTTATCGATAAACTATCTCTCAATCGAATAACCATTCCCTGTTTAAGCACCATCAAACCGAATGTATACACCCTTCGGGCTCCTATTGCTGTGACTTAGTGCAGTGACAATCTGCTGTTCGATTGTACAATTGTACGATTGTACGTTTGTACAGAGGGACACTGCACTTAGATCATGTAATGGTTTACGAGATAAGCACCTGTTGTGCTATTTTCATTTGGTCATGCAAATACAGGCACATACACGCTTCCATGTAGACACATCACAACCCCGTCATAATCCAAGACAAATCGCTTCCAACATTAAGTGATTGTGTCACCTTGACGCCACTTAAAATAACATTACATGTTAAACAGTACCAAAAAGCCTGACACGACATTTTTATTACGTTTCATTCTGTTTGTCTCAAAGGCTATCCAACAGTTATTAATACAATTCCCTGTTACCAATATTTAGCTTTTCATAAGAAATGATACATAATTTACAAAAAGGATTAACATTTCCTGTGTTATATTTACGCAGATGAGGGAAAAAGATATTGCGCGTGACATATATTTTATTGTTTAACGTGTCAGAGACAACGTGGCAGTGAAATCGTGATGACACTTTATACGCACACAGAAAGGGTGGAAACTAACGTAAGTTAAAATCACAACACATCCTGCTTGCTCCATCTTTTGCTTTGCTGAGGCCAAGGGCAGAGATCAGATGACGATGTGGCCGAAAATGATCTGGATCGCTTTCATGGGTAAGTCCTTGCTTTGTAGAACACTTTCCATAGTACGGCCTGAAAAAGCACAAGCTCTTAATCAGCTGGATGCCAATCGTGCAAATAATTTCAGCAATCTGTCGGCACTGTCAGGAGTGAGTGAAGGAGATAGGTTTTAGTCCACTTTAGTGACCGAAGATGCTTGTCTGCATCTGATTTGACAGCTCCATCAGGGCCAAGGTTCTCCTCCAGCACAGAAGGCTTCTCCGTGCAATCAGACGGAACCATTCAATGTATTCCTTCTTCTGCTGGACAGTAGATGGGGCTTCTGGGACAGGCCAGTGGACGCAGGGTCCGTGAAGTGCCGGACAGTGTCCCAAAACGCCGTGACGAACAAGACGTGGTGAACACGATGTCCGAGACATGAAGGTCATTCTGAAGGTCAACCTAAGACTTTGTACAAGGGTGTAACCAACTGAAATATCTTGCTCGTCGGCAGATTTAGGTCGTGATATTTCATTAAGGGATCAGGAATATGTATTCGGATGTACGCTCCTGATATATGAAAATAGCATTTTAGGTAAAATATTAGTTAATGCCATTCTTTATCGGGGGATAATTAAACATTCAAAACTTGTCACATGACCGATAAAAGTCTAAATCTCTTACTTTTTCCACCAAACATATGATGATGATGATTCGCATCACAAAAATGGCATATATCCAATCTCTCAACAAACTTTAATGCAATGACTATGCATCCTGAATGCTTTTTCGCCCTTGTCACATTTATAAGTATAATCTATTGTTAACACTTGGTCAAATCTACATACTGTGATTCTAAGGATGCTTCCAGTTAAATTTTCTGATATAATGTTCTCTGTACCCAGTTGCTGTCTCCGTCGCTCGCATTGATGGACGTAAGTATTGGCCCAGATTTCGGATAAGTGATTGTAACATAATTGTAGTAAATTTGATTTTTGTGGGGATGGGATGTTTTGAAACGTTTCGTGTATTCAAGATAATACCGTTGAACATTTTGCCTCAGTGTTTCCAAAATGGAAATGACTGATTAAAGAACCAAACTCAAATGTCAGTTTCTATTACCTTCAAACAAATGTCTTAATGATGAAATATGCCGACACTGTTATATAACGATGTACAAATTATACTCATATAAATTTTAATATTGTTTCCGACCGCCGATCTATACTATACCCGTGAAGATCCGGGTTACAAATGGTCTTCAGTGACCCATGCTTGTCGTAAGAGGCGATTAACGGGATCGAGTAGTCAGGCTCGTTGACTTGGTTGACACATGTAATCGTATCCCATTTGCGTAGATTGATGCTTATGCTGTTGATCACTGGATTGTCTGGTCCAGACTTGATTATTTACAGACCGCCTCCATATAGCTGGAATATTGCTGAGTGCGGCGTAAAACTAAACTCATTCAGCCACTCTGTTACAAGGTTAACAAAATAGACTGAGGTTAATTTACAATAATTTAGAAAACACTTGCACTCTCCTCCATCACCTAGTGTTGTAATGTTGTCTGTACTTCTACTTCCAGTGCACATCGTTAAGCGAAGCGCCGTGGTGAGTAATTATACCACTTGTCCTGGATAAAATATAATGAGGTTTTTCTGGGTCTTTGATGCCAAGGGGCGGTGGGGTAGCCTAGTAGTTAAAGCGTTCGCTCGTCACACTGAAGACCCGGGTTCGATTCCCCACATAGGTACAATGTGTGGAGCCCATTTCTAGTGTCCCCCGCCGTGACTTTTCTGGAATATTGCTAAAAGCGGCGTAAAACTTAACTCACTCACTCATTTTCATGCTGGACCTGAGAACGTTTAGATGTACGAGGGGCTATCAAAAGGTGTCTAGCCTAAAATACTTCTGATATGTGCATGATAAAAATAAGTGTACGATATTGAAGAATGGTTTATATAATTCACATAAGCGTAGTGAGTGAGTAAGTGAGTGAGTATGGTTTTACGCCGCTTTTAACAATATTCCAGCAGTATGAGGGCGGGGGACACCAGAAATGAGCTTCATAAATTGTACCCACGTGGGGAATCGAGCCCGGTTCTCCCGCGTGACAAGCGAAAGCTTTACACATCATGTGAATGATATAAGCCATTCCACAATATCATACAGTTATTTTTATCATGTACATGAGAAGTATTTTAAGCTCAAAACCTTTTGATAGCCCCTCGTACAGCTTCGGTGACAGAGGAAGATTGGTAGTAAAGGGAGACTATTTAGATAAACATGTACAGTGTAACAGACTACTGGAATCGTTTTGATTTATTTATATATAGATGTATGTTTTTCTGTATAACGTCCTTGTGAAGTTTGATATTTGTATATTTGTTATTAAGGGAGATGGAACAAACGAGGTGAGCGCCGATAAGGTCTCGTCGCCATCAGCAGCAGCAACAGAGAGTGCTGGGAACAGCGGGGACTCCTCCTCCTCTTCCTCGGGTGTTTCCGTGGATTCGTCTAATTCTACCATCTCCAACATGGTTCCGTCGCCGAGCACATCAGTGTCCATCATATCCTCTACCCCTGGAATACAGGTCACTACTGATACAACGACTACAAGTAACTCTTCTTCATCCATAGCTGCAGAAGGCGGTACAGCTGCAGCCACAGCTGTAGTAGTTGGTACAGTTGCGGCAGAGGTTGTTGCCTCACCCCCAGCCAGTTCGTCATCAGCTGGAAATACTAGTGCTTCTTCAGCAACAAACATCACCAATACCGCGTCTTCATCAACAACTGCCGCAAACGCTGGTGCGTCATCCAGTGTCACAGCTAGTTCTGCCCCAGGCCCTAACATGGGTATCCAACAGTCTGCGTCTGTCAACGCCCCCATAGTTTCCTCGAATACTTCTGCAACCACGAATGCAACTTCGGCAACATCAACAGCTGGGTCATCAGCCAATGCAATTGCAACATCAGGTATGCTATCGCCAGATAATTCCTAAGCTTCTGCAAACGTTTAAACACAACTTGTAAAGGTAATGATAATATTGTTCCGGGGTTTTGTCAGTCAATCTAGCCCAAATGTAAACTCATTATGTTCTGCATCTATAGTTGGAACTGATAGTAATTCTTCCACATACCCAGAGAACGTGAGGTCCGCGTTTCCATCCCGGGCGTGGTCGCATCAAAAATACGTTGAGAGACGGTACTCGTTATTGCCATATTTCGTTTTAAATGGATAAACAGCGACTGACCAGGTTGGTGTCGGTATACTAGGTATTTAACGTTAAATCTAATTTTATGTCGCCTCTAACGATTGAACTCCCCAGTCAACGGGATGTAATACTGGTCCTTCTAGAATTTGTGTTAGTTTCACGTCCTTTGTTGGAAACATTGGAAATTTTTCTCTACGCATGCGGTCTCAATGCAAAACCCTTCATCCACAGCCGACTCCAGCGCCTTTGCTTCAGCTTTTGTTCTTGTCAATCCATCATCTGCTCCTGGACTAAATGCTAGTTCTCCAAACACTTCAGTGACGTCTACAAGTACTGGTTCATTATCTACGACCGTGAACAACACTAGTTCCACTACAATCGGAGCTACGGCATTAACAACAGCAACAAGTGCCAGCACGTCATCAACAACAATAACAGGCGCTGGCACATCAACAACAGGGACAAGTGCCAGCACATTATCAGCTGCAGAAACAAATTCCATCACATCATCAGGACCAGTTGCTAGCACACAATCAACAGGAACAAACACTGTCCATACGTCATCAGCAACAGGAACAAGCTCCATCGCGTCATCAGCTACAGGAACAAACTCCATCGCGTCATCAGCTACAGGAACAAACTCCATCGCGTCATCAGCTACAGGAACAGTCGCTAGCCCAACGTCAACAGGAACAAACACTGTCAATGCGTCATCAGCAACGGGAACAAGCTCCATCACGTTATCAGCTACAGGAACAAACTCCATCTCGTCATCAGCTGCAGGAACAAACTCAATCACTTCATCAGGAACAGGCGCAGTCACAGCGTCAGCAGCAGGAACAAGTGCGAGCACGTCATCGGCTTCAGGAACAAGCGCCGGCACTGCATTGGCATCAGGAACAAGCGCGAGTACGTCATCGGCTATAGGAACAGGTGCGAGCACAACATCTACAGGAACAACAGGCGCCGTCACGGCGTCAGCAACAGGAACAAGTACGAGCACGTCATCGGCTTCAGGAACAGGTGCGAGCACGTCATCGGCTACAGGAACAGGTGCGAGCACAACTTCAAGAGGAACAACAGGTGCCGTGACAGCATCGGCAGCATTAACAAGTGCGAGCACGTCATCGGCTACAGGAACAAGCGCCGGCACTGCACTAGCAACAGGAACAAGCGCGAGTACGTCATCGGCTATAGGAACAGGTGCGAGCACAACATCTACAGGAACAACAGGCGCCGTCACGGCGTCAGCAACAGGAACAAGTACGAGCACGTCATCGGCTTCAGGAACAGGTGCGAGCACGTCATCGGCTACAGGAACAGGTGCGAGCACAACATCAACAGGAACAACAAGCGCCGGCACGGCGTCAGCAGCAGGAACAAAAGCGAACACGCCATCGGCTACAGAAATAAGTTCCAACATCAATGATAGTGCTTCCCCTGCCAGTGAAACGTCGGAAGCGAACAAAGGTCAAAAAGGTAATCTGCCTCTTCACTTATAAATAACGCAAACTCTATGGGAATCCCATTCCGAGTCTAGACGTCATGTCGGTGGGGGCAAACGTTGTTTCTGAAATCATGTATTGTCGGAGTCTTTGTGTGTTTACGATATACCTTAGAGCGTCTATTGACAACATTCTGATTGTTTAGATTGGGTCAGTGATTATTTCCTGCCTATTACGTTGCAGTGGACACAAAGGGAGTGGGGACGACGTCTGTGACGGAGGCAACAAACAAACAACTCGACACAGTCATCCCGGAAATACAGTATGTTCAAACACGGTTGAATTCTGAAAATATTATATATTATATACAAAGTAAACAAAGTATATATGATTGATATATGCAGAGGGAGGTCAGTATCGTTAAACAAAACTTTAATGTATATGGGAAACTATGCAGCCCGAAACGATGTAATCGAGCAAATGAAAAGATGTATTAACTAAACAACATTAACATGCGAAAGGTCCACATATGTTCCACACACACACGCACACACAGTCACGCGCACACAGTCACGCACACACAATCAGAAACACACAAACGCACATAAACGAACAATCACTCACACAAACATACAGCACGGATATGTACACGCACGATGGAAAAACACACTGTTAGCATTAATAACATACATCTGTACATTGTGTATTGTGGGATACTGACAATGGATGAGTAGATAGTATACGAGGCTGTTCTATTGTGGGATACCGACAATGGATGAGTAGATAGTATACGAGGCTGTTCTATTGTGGGATACTGACAATGGATGAGTAGATAGTATACGAGGCTGTTCTATTGTGGGATACTGACAATGGATGAGTAGATAGTATACGAGGCTGTTCTATACCGTGGGATACTGACAATGGATGAGTAGATAGTATACGAGGCTGTTCTATTGTGGGATACTGACAATGGATGAGTAGATAGTATACGAGGCTGTTCTATTGTGGGATACTGACAATGGATGAGTAGATAGTATACGAGGCTGTTCTATTGTGGGATACTGACAATGGATGAGTAGATAGTATACGAGGCTGTTCTATTGTGGGATACTGACAATGGATGAGTAGATAGTATACGAGGCTGTTCTATTGTGGGATACTGACAATGGATGAGTAGATAGTATACGAGGCTGTTCTATTGTGGGATACTGACAATGGATGAGTAGATAGTATACGAGGCTGTTCTATTGTGGGATACTGACAATGGATGAGTAGATAGTATACGAGGCTGTTCTATTGTGTGGATACGAGGCTGTTCTATTGTGGGATACTGACAATGGATGAGTAGATAGTATACGAGGCTGTTCTATTGTGGGATACCGACAATGGATGAGTAGATAGTATACGAGGCTGTTGTATTGTGGGATAATGACAATGGATGAGTAGATAGTAAACGAGGCTGTTCTATTCCTCCAGGAACACACAGCTGTCGCTGGAGCAGATTAAACAATTAGTGAAGATTTACAAACTTCGACCAAGTAACTACGGCCGCTTCTTGGAGGCCCTGCAGTGGCAGTCGTCGAAAACAGTCAGGACCATGGACACGTGAGTGAGTGAGTGAGTGTGAGTGAGTGGGTGGGTGGGTGGGTGAGTGAGTGAGTGAGTGAGTGAGTGAGTGAGTGAGTGAGTGAGTGAGTGAGTGAGTGAGTGAGTGAGTGAGTGAGTTGGTGGGTGGGTGGGTGAGTGAGTGGATAAGAGAGTGAGTGGGTAGGAGAGTGAGTGAGTGAGTGAATGAATGAATGAGGGAGTGACTGAGTAGTATTTCAGGCATTTCAGAACTGAATTGATAAGAAAAGTGGAATTTGAATCAAGTCCTAGGCCACATTGATGAGACCCATAACATATGATGTGGTGCATAGAAACCAAAAGGATTCGAACCAAGGATTGTAAATGGGTTTCGAACCCATGATCTACAGTCAGCACAATGGCGTCGAGAAAATATTCATACAGCATTAATACGCAGACGAGAACACTTGTATTAACTGCTACATTGTTAGCAAGCTGAGCGAAGTGAAATTGAAAATACGAGCAAGATATAGGGGATTTGCTTGAAGGCAGGGCGAAATATGAACTTGCGTCGACATGCTGTTGGTTCCTACTGGATTGTTATTTCAACGGATTAGTCTCTAATAAATTGTTTGTGGTGTGTATGTTTGTGAGTCAGGAGTTATGTCCCTTGTGTCTAATGGGAAGCTTTGAAAAGACAGCAAATTTTGACAGTAGTTCAGGTACATGAAGTTTGCCCTAGAGTGTGTGTGATTATTTACAATGGGAAACGTTTATATTTGTATCGCTGTTCAATGTTCAGACGCCGTAGAGTCATCACATCAGTTGCAGCAACGTACCAGGTGGTGCTCAATGGAGGAGACTGTGTACCCTGGAACAGCTTCCCCTTCGACCGTACACTCACCTGGCAGGGAGGACGCGCCACGGTAAGAACTTGCCTCTCACCCTCACCTGGCAGGGAGGACGCGCCAGGGTAAGAACATGCCTCCCACCCTCACATGGCAGGGGGGACGCGCCACGGTAAGAACAAGCCTCTCACCCTCACATGGCAGGGGGGACGCGCCATGGTAAGAACAAGCCTCTCACCCTCACATGGCAGGGGGGACGCGCCACGGTAAAACATGCCTCCCAACCTCACATGGCAGGGGGGACGCGCCATGGTAAGAACAAGCCTCTCACCCTCACATGGCAGGGGGGACGCGCCACGGTAAGAACATGCCTCCGAACCTCCTCACAGGCAGGGAGGACGCGCCACGGTAAGAACATGCCTCCCACCCTCACCTGGCAGGGGGGACGCGCCACGGTAAGAACAAGCCTCTCACCCTCACCTGGCAGGGGGGACGCGCCACGGTAAGAACATGCCTCCCACCCTCACCTGGCAGGGAGGACGCGCCACGATAAGAACATGCCTCCCACCCTCACCTGGTGGGGCCACGTGGGGGGGGGATGGGCGGATGGTGGTGCGTGGTGGTGGTGCGCGTCACGGTAAGAACAGTCCTTACAGTTTGTCATGGGTGGGTTGGAGGATGGGCATAGTCAGGCCTCCCACCTGGCACATGGTAGGTGTGGTCAGAGCCTACTTGGCAAGATGACACCATATCCGGAACAGCACTCACAGCCTGGTCTGGCAAGTTATTCTGGGAGGTGCGCTTGAGTGGTGGTGGAAGAGAAAGTGAGTAGCTGGGGCTGGTCACATAGCATGTTTACAAAGTGTTGCTAGGGAGTACCTTTTGTAAGGAGATGTTATATATATTGTTTTTATATGGGTATTCATATCGCGCTATAGTCCATCCCATCAACACACATGCTCAAAGCGCTCGGTTTTTTACTTCGAGCTCTGGATGTCAATATCAACGGCACATCGTATTTTCAATCTCAACTCCCTGGGGATCATAAAACTCTTGCAGCCACTAGGCGCGCCGAGTTAATGTGACTTTCCCATCCTTACCACGTACCCACTCACAGCTGGGTGGACTAGGACACATAGTCACAGTACTTTGTCCAAGTTTACTGCATGTTATTTTAAGCTGCATTTAGGAATATCACGGAGCGGGACACCAGAAATTAACTTCACGCATGTGGGGAACAGAGCCCGGTCTTCGGCTTACATCCGTGAAAGATTCGACACTTTAATTTGCTTCTTGATACCATATTTATTATCAAGACCGCAATCTGTCCATTAAACCAAAGCTAATCAAAAGCCACCATATGACACCTGTCAACACCGACCAGTGTAGGTCAACCTACTTCATCGTAGTCCACTGCTTCCATCCACAGATCCATTTCTTCAATCCCGATGGACGCTATGCCGAGCTCTGTATGGGTAACCCTCTGACAGAAGTCGACAAGTCATGTCGCTTCCAGGTGGTCATTCCCAATGACATAATCACCGCCATAGACACTCCAGGATTCGTGGTGTACAACCGAATCATGCATATTCAACACCGTGAGTATTGCCTACAATCTGTTACAATCCCGAACGTGTACCGTCCGTTTGATTTCATTTGAGACCGATGAATTGCTCAATAACATGAAGTCTAATAATTGCAACAAAACCAAATGAAATAGACAAACCAACTCTGATGATTTGTCTCATAATCTTGGACACCTGAATAAAAATGTTTTTTAACAAACGATCATTATTGCGTTGCTTTTACGAGGCGGGACCACTTGCAGGTAGAACAGCCAGGTGTTCGAGTTGCACGTGTGAAAATGAAATTTCACTCCACACGCTTGATGATTACCTGGCTGTCCTACCAGTAAGTGGTCCCCCCTTCTACAAAATAGCGAAAAGTGACAACAAAATAATGATCGTTTGTTAAACAACTTTTTTATTATTTGGGTGTCCAAATTGTGAGCAACATCATCAGAGTTGGTCTGTCGATTTCATGTGACTGTCCAAAATTTGGTTTCGTTGCAATTATTAGATTTTGTGTTAGTGAGCAATTCATCGGTCTCAAATGAAATCAAACGGACTGTAGTGTAGGTTTATAGACACACGCCGTGTCGCCCACAGGGGTGTCTGGCCGATCAGTAGAGGGACTGACTGCTATGGAAGAACTGTCTCGTCCACACACCCTCACCATGTCATCTGGCTATCGATAGATCATAGAGACAGATAATCGTTAACTAATTATAGATTGGTTATCGATAATTATCGGAGCCGTAACTTTTAGCAAAAATGAAAAAAGACAGTTTGAAAGAAATGAATACAATTCACATGACTGGTGAGTGGCGACATGTTGATACATGGGCTACTGACAAAACAGCCTTGTGAACATACTTTACAAGCAACCCATGAATAAACACTAACTATGTGTATTGAGTGAGTAAATTAAAACTTTATTTTATCACAAAAGTGTATGAACCATATTATGGAAGACGCTATTTTCATTTCGATAATCATATATAATGTTTCCTACCTACGAAATTTCCGATTATCGATCGTTTTAAATTATGTAAGTAATCTCGTAGAATGAACCCGTGAAGGTCCGGGTTAGAATTAATCTTCAGTAACCCATGCTTGTCGTAAAGAGGCGACTAACGGTATCGGGTAGTCAGGCTCGCTGACTTTGTTGACACATGCATCCCAATTGAGTAGATCGATGCTCATGATGTTTATCACTGGATTGTTTGGTCCAGACTAGATTATTTACAGACCGCCGCCATATAGCTGGAATAATGCTGAGTGCGGCGTAAACCTAAACTCACTCACTCACTTAGCCTCTAACCCGACTTCAGCTAACTGTTGTGGACTTGCCTTTCAGAGGGAGATGTTCACACGATTGACAATATGTTATCACGGGGCGCCGAGTTCGTGAAGCGGCAGGAAACAATCCAGGAGTTCGCCTCCTGCTACAACTAAACCCTGAGGTACACAACAAGCCTGTGGGTGCTGCATGTACAACCAATCAACAGAAATAACACTGTCGCTGTGGACACGCGTCATTGTTCAACGTCTTTGTGTAACACACATCTACAGCTCTTACTGCCCAGAGGGTCAGTTATGTAAAAAATATACCATAGACCTTTTCTCAAGACAGTCAAGGGTGTTATAATTATACATATATGTATGTCTGTGTATATATGGCCTTTTTTCCAGAGGGCAAGGTTGTAACAATCACATATGTAACCTCCTTCCCGAAAGTTAAGGTTGTGACAATCACATATGTGACCTCCTTCCCGAAGGTCAAGGTTGTGACAATCACATATGTGACCTCCTTCCCGAAGGTCAAGGTTGTGACAATCACATATGTGACCTCCTTCCCGAAGGTCAAAGTTGTGACAATCATGACCTCTTTTCCAGGAGGTTCAAAGTTGTAACAATCATATATATGGCCTCCATTGTTGAGGGTCACGGTTGCAACAAACATGACCTTCTTTCCGGAGGGGGTTGTAATAATCATGGATATGACCTCCATTCTAGAGGGTCAAGGTCGTGACAATAATGGCCTCTTTTTCTAGGGGGATCAAGGTTGTGACCATAACCAAATGGTCTCTTCTCCCTAGGGTCCTGGTTGTACCAATTTCTGGAGGTTCAGGGTTGTATAATTAATATATACAGTCTCCTTTCTGGAGGATCAAGGTTATATAATAAATATACAGAACCTCTATAGAGGGTTAAGGTTGTAACAATTGAGTCTATGACATACCTTCCAGAGAGTATGAACGTGTCAATAGTGCTTCATGATCCACGTATCACATTGTGAATAAAGAGATAATTTATACTTTTACTGTTGGTGTGTTCTTTGTGTTCAAGGCGGTGAATGACTGACATGTCAAGTGACATTATGCCTGGAAGAACTGTTGATTATGTTTGTTCATGTGCGCCTAGGTCTGCATTGATACGGCGGAATCGCGGAGGACTGTAAAATTGCACTCTGGGTTTGTGTAGGATGACACCCAATCACCAAATCTGTTGACCAGACAATCCAGTGATTGATATTATAAGCATATCATTGGGGTAGGATGACACCCTATCACCAAATCTGTTGACCAGACAATCCAGTGATTGATATTATAAGCATACCGTTGGGGTAGGATGACACCCAATCACCAAATCTGTTGACCAGACAGTCCACATATCATTGTCCAATCACCAAATCTGTTGTGATTGATATATTATAAGCATATCATTGGGGTAGGATGACACCCAATCATCAAATCTGTTGACCAAAATCTGATTGACCAGGATGACAATCCAGTCCAGATTGATATTATATATCATTGCAATCACCAAATCACCAGACAATCCAGTGGGCATAGGATGACACCCAATCATCAAATCTGTTGACCAGACAATCCAGTGATTGATATTATAAGCATACCGTTGTGGTAGGATGACACCCAATCATCAAATCTGTTGACCAGACAATCCAGTGATTGATATTATAAGCAAATCTTTGGGGTAGGATGACACCCGATCAGCAGATTTGTTGACCAGACAATCCAGTGATTGATATTATAAGCATACCCTTGGGGTAGGATGACACCCAATCACCAAATCTGTTGACCAGACAATCATGTGATTGATATTATAAGCATACCGTTGGGGTAGGGTGACACCCAATCACCAAATCTGTTGACCAGACAATCATGGGATTGATATTATAAGCATACCGTTGGGGTAGGATGACACCCAATCACCAAATCTGTTGACCAGACAATCCAGTGATTGATATTATTAGCATACCGTTGGGATAGGATGACACCCAATCACCAAATCTGTTGACCAGACAATCCAGTGATTGATATTATAAGCATACCGTTGGGGTAGGATGACACCCAATCACCAAATCTGTTGACCAGACAATCCAGTGTCTGACAGGGAGAGTAGTGATCCTGGCCTCTGGGGGAATGATGCCATGCAGTCAGGTACGATTACCGGGTGTGGTCATGACCACCCAATACACAAATCCACCTCCTACGAGCAGCATTGCTGAGGTCTTATTGTATCACAAAACTCCTTGGGGGATTAAACCGTGACTCCGTGACGGGATGTGTAGACATGATTGTGTTTTGTGACATATCGATACATATTAATACACGCTCGCACGCACGCACACACACACACACTTACGCACGCACACATGCACGCGCGCATATATATATAAATTTATATATATATTTAAGGCCTGTTAATAACTGAAGAGGAAGTTTGCAGCCCAATCCTGTCATCTTTCACAATGGATTTAAAGGGATATAACACCATAATACCGTAAATTTCCAAAAGTTTGAACATGTCACATTTACCCGCCATACACTACCAACCAACAGTGTAAGCTAGACCTGCACTCCTGTAGTAAACCTGTGAACAAAAGAAGAATACCAAACGCGCTGTCTGCTAGGGTTCTGATCCCCTGGTCAGTTATGAATACAGTTTTGTCCTTTGCATAAAAGTCAGAAGTTGCTCAGATTGGCAAAAAACAAAACAGGGGAGTCTGCCCAGGAAAGTGTAAACATTATGCAGTGGCCAGCCCTTAGTCCTGATTAAAACCCAATTGAACATCTTTGGGATGAAATTCAGAGGAGACTGAATAATGACATACCAAGGCCGAGCACAGCCGATCTATTGCGCCCGGCCTTTCTCAGAGTGTCGTTCCAGGTGCCAATGGCCTTCATCAATCGATTGGTGCACTCCATGCATAGACGCTGTGCTGCAGTTATTGCCGCTCGTGGTGGTCACACTAGATACTGAAGTCAAGAGTCTGAATGGACTGCAAACGTTCACGTAATGTCTTGAAATTCTGCTGAGTTATTCATTGGTGTGTCAAGATATTGTACACAAAAATGTTTTTGATCTGCTTATCATGTCAATTTCTGTAATGATTTGATTACAGTGCCTATCTAAATCTGAATTCGTACTGACGTTTTTTTGCTGCTGAGTATATATAAAAGGAAAATTAAAGAAATTAGATTTTGACAGAAAACATTGGTACACCCACAGAATTCCGGCCACCTACCAGCCATATTGTTTAGTGTCGCGTCACCCCAACCCTGCTAACCCTGGCACTTTTTGCGCACTTTTAAAGTAAACTCGCGTGCTTTAAAAGATGGAGGAAGGTGTCAAGTATTTTGTAGTCATACCAAAATGTTGAGTATTCCCTAATGAGCTGATATTAGAAAATAATGGATCATAACAGTAATATAGAGAGATGATGGTAATGAAGGATTTACATGTAAATAGCATTAATTTAGCACCACCTGAATGCGAGGGCAGTTTCTTGTCCAAGAATTTGGGGGTACAAATGTCATAACAAAGTGTAAGACTTAGGCGTTCAGATAAATACCTGGCCTGCATGACGCAGGGATGTCCTGTTGCATCGGGGCAAACTGGAACATTAACCACACAGGCATTGGCCGACTAGTGAAGAATCATGTGAACATTTGTGAAGTAAAGGATCATCCAAGACCGGAACAGTTGAGGATACCCAAGGTCTGCGACGGCTGAGTACTATTTGGCAGAATGTTGTCACATGACCCATGCCGGAGAGATGCACTGGCACCGGGGACTGGGGACTTGGCATAGGCGGATCCAGAGGGTGTGTGTGTGTAGTGTGTGAGCGTGCGAGGTACTGATGTGGTTGCCAGTGTTGGTTGATGCATTCACAACAATCATTATTTGAGAATAGATTGGTGGTGTTGTCATGGTGACCTTACTTCTCCGACATTGTTGATATTTACGTTTTTGTGTATTCCCCTCTAAATTGTTATCAAATTTTATTTTCAGTTTTATTCTTGTTTTAATCGGGGTAAAATATATAGTTTTATCATTTTAATACGTTTTCGAAATCGATTTTTCATAGCCTACACCACGTAGCGTTTCCGTAATGATGACAAGTATAATCAGCATCACAAACTGATGCCAACAACCAAAGAGGACAGTTGGACATCAGTTCATCAGTGACATTCACGATCAATCAAGCTGAGTCTCGTTCACTCCTCTTGCAGCGCCTGACACAGTTCACCCGATGAAGTGAGTGGACATGTACATTTCCAGACGTGATCTGTGGGTAAAGGTCTTGTCTTGTCCACTCCTCTTGCAGCGACTAACCCAGTTCGCCTGATGAAGTGAGTGGACATGTACATTTCCAGACGTGCTCTGTGGGTAAAGGTCTAGTCTTGTTCACTCCTCTTGCAGCGACTGACCCAGTTCGGTGGACATTTCCAGACGCCTGGTGTAGGGGATGGACATTTCCAGACGCCTGTTGTAGCGGGTGGACATTTCCAGGGGAAATGTGGGAAAGCTTTGGTCTTGCTGCTAGCCAGTTACGAGTCAGGTTTTGAAAGACAAACAACGGACTTTCATGGTGCGCGATTGGTTCCTTCCCTGGATTCCATGTAGTGACGTTCTGTCAGAGACCATTGCCCAAGTTGACTTGGCATCCGTTAGGCCGCCTCCGGAAACGTCCACCTCCCTCTAGAAAGACTGACTGGATCTTTACGTATATATATAAACATTACACGAGACCATCAGCCATTTAAGCATGGCCTCTACCGGAATGTGTTGATTTGTCAAAGGCTGTGCAGTACGCGGTCGCCGAAGTATCAGAATGAAATGATTAATAATCTGCTCAGTGAAATAACTCCGGTGGTTAGGACAGGTAAACAGCGATTTGAATGGCTGGTTCGGTTGCGTGATACCTCTCCTGAGCAATCGTTCCTGGACTAGCGGTGACACCTGTGCCGATCCTTAGCTTGCTGACTCAGCAGAAACCTGTTGCAAAGTCTGCAAATCACAGGTGATAATATATGGGCTACCTCTCTTTATTTGCAGCCAGTTTAAAGCTTGGCAGAAGCCATGCCATTTGTCTGGTACACCATGGCTAATGAACAGTGAGCATGGCAAAATTGATTTCCTAAAAGGTAATATAGAAGATCAATCTCGCCCCAAAAATTATTATTTACAGACCAGCGCTATATAGCTGGAGGCGGTGGTTAGCCTAGTGGTTAAAGCGTTCGCCCGTCACGCCGAAGACCCGGGTTCGAATCCCCACATGTGCACAATGTGTGAAGCCCATTTCTGGTGTCTCCCGCCGTGACTTTGCTGGAATATTGCTAACCGCGGCGTAAAACCATACTCACTTACTCACTCATATAGCTGGAATATGCTGACAAACAAACCAATATGTAGCTAATTACTCCTCGTCTGATCACAGTGGTGTCAACAGGTACATGTAGAACACCTTAACTAACTATTTTATCATGTCTTTCAGACACGTTCTCTTCCGCCTGACTGAACTAGCGGCGCCACACTTCATGAAGTGCTAGTCCACGGAACACGGCAGTTGATGACGACCCCCCTGACAACGTGCAACACGACTGTGTGACACTTTAATTACATTTGGCTGTCGACCGTAATACATGACAACAATGTCACAAATTAACATGATATATGTTTTATCAAAACTCGTCCATTTGTCAATACCATCCATTGCATCAGAACAGATTGTACATTACACTTGTTCTAGTGAAGGGCTATCGGGATCTATGGCTGACACCGTGTTCTGTGTCGTGTGATGACACACGTGGGTTGTGTCAGTTTCATGGTGGAGAGCGACGTGTGACCTGGGGTGCCGAGGCTGATCATCAATATGTACATTGCCTGCTTCCTACTCACACTAACAGGTAGGTGTGGCGTGCCACGTTGGTCTCACCAGACTGTTTAGTTCCCGCCAGGTCAGTTTTATGCCAAGGACTTACCATATGGGATGTATAGCTCTCTACT